TATATATATATATATATATATATATGCTTTAATATGGCTGTACCATTTGTTATCTATGGAAAGGATAAACATGATAATTATGTTGCTTTTTGTGACGTAAGGAAACCCTAAACCCTAAACCCTAGATAAACCCTAAACCCTAGATAAACCCTAAACCCTAGATAAACCCTAAACCCTAGATACACTTTATAACAATATATATATTTGCTTTAATATGGCTGTACCATTTGTTATCTATGGAAAGGATAAACATGATAATTATGTAGCTTTTTGTTATGTAAGGAAACCCTAAACCCTAGCTAAACCCTAAACCCTAGATAAACCCTAAACCCTAGATATACACTAAACCACACTTTGTGGCCGTTCCATTTGTTATCTATGGAAAATATAAAAGTGATAATTATGTAACTTTTTGTGGTGTATGACGTAAACCCTAGCTAAACCCTAAACCCTAGCTAAACCCTAGATATACAATACCTAAACCCTAGATAAACCCTAAACCCTGTACATTAATTGTTGTTTAGTTATTCTTTAATATGGTGGTGTTTATTTAACCACTGGTCTGTTGTTATTGGTGGGGTTGTTATCATTAAGAGTTATGTCAGTGTGTTACTACTGGTGGGGTTGCTCTGATCAGCTACTGTGCATATTATATATAAGTGTGTTACTGTTGGTGGGGTTGTTCTTTTTTTCCAAAAGTGTGTTACAAATGGTGGGGTTGCTCTTTCCCCCAGTTGTATAGATTACATATAAAAATGTGTTACAAATGGTGGGGTTGCTCTTTCCCCCATGTTGTATAGATTACATATAAAAGTGTGTTACAAATGGTGGGGTTGCTCTTCTCTCCTTGTATATATATATATGTATATATGTGTGTGTGTGTATATATGGTGATGCAGAGTAGTCGTATCCAATGGGACGTATTGGAGGAATTTTCTGATGAAGAATTGATGGAGTATATAAAATATTATGCATTATTTTTTTGGGCAAAAGTAGATCGTCGTAGTACAAGCTCATTAACAGTAGTAGTAGATGCAGGAGGATTCTCAATAAGACAGGTAGTAGGGGGTAGCGTCAAGACAGTATTGAATGCATTAGTAGAGGGATTAAATAGTACAGTACAATATGTAGGGGAGAGGCCTGGTCATGTATTTCTTCTTAATACACCTTCTTTTTTATCTCCTATTATTTCTTTTATTAGTAAATTATTAAGAGTTGGTGTACAATTAAGTACTTATAGTAAAAGGAATCAATGGGAATCTGCACTAAGACAGCATATAGGTACTGCTTATTTACCTCGTGAGTATGGGGGTACAAATCCTCTTAGATTAGATGATTCTCTTGTTCTTAAATTTATTCTCTCCTCTGTTAGATCTATACTTGCCAAGAACCAACAAGCAAGGATGCATATTGCTAATGTTGCATCCACTCATACACCATAAGCAGCAACAGCAGCAGCAGCAACAGCAGCTTCTGCTGCTACAGCAGCAGTTACAGCAGCACCAACACCAGAAAATGTACGCAAAGGCGGCAATTATCAGTAATTATACATAATATTGTATACAGTGCATATAACAACTGTTGCTACACAACTACAAGAAGAACAAGAACAACAACCACCAGCAGCACCAGCAGCAGCAAACTCTCCAGGAGGTGCAACAGCAGCAACACCAGCAACAGCAGCAGGAGGGAGATGAAGCAGGAGGAGGTACAGTGGAAGCCTATACTTCTTACATCCACTACCGCGTCAACCATGTCTCCACCTGCTGCTGCTGCTGCTGCTGCTGCTGCAGCAGCAGCAGCACCAAGGCATATTTACTATTTCCAGCAATTGCTGCAGCAAGTGCTGCAGTGATTAGGCTACAGCGGCTGCTGCAGCAAGTGCTGCAGCAGCAGGAAGAGCACCAATGTTGCAGGGAGTATACCATTTGATGGCAAATTTATTCTCTTAAGAAGCAGCAGGGGAAGCAGCAGGGAGAAGATGGCAGCGTCCAGCAGACAGACTGTGCATGCATGCATGTATGCATGCATGTATGCATACATGTATGCATACATGCATGCATGCAACCTTAAAACACATCAACCCCACCATTTGCTTCTGGTCCCCCTCCTCCTCTCTCTTATGGCTTGTTTTTCTTTCTTTTTTCCCTGGCTGCATGCAGCAGGCGTATGCTCTGCTGCTGCAGTCTCCGAGAGAGAGCCAAGGAGAGACATTTTAGGGGGGGACACTCGTGGCGAGGGTTTAGGGTTTAGGGTTTGGGTGCATGCTCAGCTAACCCAGGTTGTGTATTTTAGGGTTTACGGTGGCTGCATGCATGCACACGCTGCTGCTTTCTCTTTATTAATAAACTCTATATATTATATTAAATATGTATAACTAATTAACTAATAAATAAACAAACAAAATAAACAGCAAAAAAAAAAGTCTTGCTGCAGCAACTGTTGCTGCTGCTTAAAAAGGAGACTCCTGTCCCCGCAAAAAAAAAGCAATTAAGAAGAAGAGGAAGAATAGATAATAAGGAGACAGCAGAGGTAGACATAAGAGGAAGGAGACAGAAAGGAACAGATAGGAGCTCAAGCAGTAATAGAAGGAGAAGGACAGGCAAAGGGAAAAGGAGACACTAAAATAATCACCAGCAAAACAACAAAAAAAGGCGACAGTAAGAGAGAGGGACACAAGGAGAAAGGTAATGGCTGTTGTGTCCTCGTACTGGGGCTGCATGCATGCAGTTTAACTTCATTAGACATATTTCCCCTTGCCTACAGCCTCTTATGAGGCTGTATAAGGAATAGCAAGGGTTTAGGGTTTAGGGTTTAGGGTTTAGTGTGCATGGGATTTGAGCGGTTTTTCTTGGAGGTCCCTCCTTCTCTGTCTCCTTACGAGGAGGGCCCTCCAGAAGGCAAGCAGGGAGAGGCACAATAGTACCAATAAGCCACTAATCAGTACCCACACCCCTCCCCTGCTGCTGTTGCTGCTGCTGCTGCGGGTTTTTGCCCAGTGTTTAGCTTGCTGCAGCTGATGGCCAGCAGGAAGGGGAGCAAGGTTTATCTCTACTTGTTGTGTTAATGGTTGGTGGTGATGGTGGTAGTAGTAGTGGGGTTGTTCTTTTGTAGGAGTAGAGTGTGTTTGCTGCAGCGCAGCATCTGTTGCTGTTGCTGCTGCTGCTGTTCCTGCTGCTGCTGTTCCTGCTGCAGTTCCTGCTGCAGTTCCTGCTGCTGTTCCTGCTGCAGTTGGCTCATCATTGTCCCCCCACAGCACTGATGATATCATCAGGGGCAATAGAGTATCTAGGGTACTAGTAAAGAAGGAGAAAAAAGCATTAGTGTCTCCTTCTGTCTCTGTGTCTAAGGAACCAAAAGGAGACAGATGGTGTCTCCTTTTGTGTCTCCTTAAGTTATGCCTCTGATGCCCAACATGCCAATCTCCCTGCTGCAGCAGCAGCCTGCTACTGCCAGTAAACGAAGGGACTGTCCCCTCCCTGTGTATAAGAGACACCTTTACCGTCTTGGGATCGTCTCTTAAACCGATCCCAAAGAGACTCAGAGGATCCTCCAACACACGTGCCTCCTGTGCCTCACCCCTGCATATAAATAAATAAATAAATAAATAAATACGTATGCATATGCACACTAATAGATAACCCAACAAGCAAACTACAACAACATGTTGGCATAGCAAGCAACGGAGTTGTCCAGAGAAAGTCTCCATACAACGCAAAACCCTAAACCCTAAACCCTAAACCCTAATGCGCCTGCACGCCTCCCTTAGTACCCCTTATCCAACAAAACCTAAGGATTGTTGTGTTTTGTTGTGTGGTGTAGAGACACTAGACACACTAGGAGATGGCCTGTAGCCAACTGTCTCTCTATTTGCTGTTCTGCTGCTGCTGCTGCTGCTGCTGCTGCTGCTGCTGCTGCCTTTCTTGCTCTCTCTGCTGCTAATAAAAAGGGACAGCTGCTTCTTTGACTCACAAGGGGTCTGCCATCTCTACAAGCATAAGAGCAGCAGCATCAGGAGGCAGAAGAAGGTTGTCTATCTGCTGCTGCTGCTGCTCTTGCTGCTGCTGGTGCTGGTGCTGGGAGGAGAGATGGGTCCAGGCCTGAGTGATTTTTGAGAGCGACTGTCCCTCCACCCCACACCACTGCAGCACTTGTGCTGCAGCAGCAGCAACAGACAGTTGCTGCTCCCCTCTGTTAAACAAACCCAGGAGACAGTCTCCATCAGCTTGCTGCCGAGTCAATACCTCTAAACCTCCGTCTCCTCTGTTGCTTTTTACTGAGGCAGAGAAGGGAACACAACCGCAACGAGAGAGAGTAACATATAAGGAGACAGATAAGGGGACAGATAAAGATATAGATAAGGAGACACAAAAGGAGACAGGCAAGGAGACAAACAAACAAATTAATGCAAGCATTAACACAACCGATAGCCGGGTGTCAACAAACATACTCAAGAAGAAAAAGGAGACAAAAAGGAGACTCTTATAAGAGTTCGTCAATAAAGGGGGAGAGCAGGCACCAAGAAAGAGACAAATACATTGCCTACAACCAATAAAAAGAAACAGGAGACACTAACCTCTAGCCTCTTGGGGATCAGATACTGCAGCAAGCCACACCGGATCTTCTATCAACTCCGCTGCAAGACGCACAAACGAAGCTAAACCCTAAACCCTAAACCCTAGATACTCAGCTAACACAGCGATAGCTCTTCTTCCATGCTAAGTGCAACTAGCATATAGAGAGGTGGAGAGACAGCACAACAAAGACAACAGTCCTTTGTGTCTCCCCTTTGTTGTCCATCCCCTCGGGGAGACACAAGAAAGTAGGGGGCCCCTTAGATCGTGTTATGGCCGTTGTGGCTACCAGTCAGATACACTGCAGCACAGCAGCTCCTGCGTGGTGTACGTACGCCGCAGCCAGTAGCCCACCTTGCTGCAAGAAGTCGTCAAAGGAAGAGACCCTCATAGTCACATGTCTGCCGAGTAATGCCTATAAAGAACAGCAAAGAGGGACAACCTTTTATGGTGATGCAGGTGGGACAAGAATGAAAGGAAGTAGGAGGAGAGTAGCATTATTCCTATCTCCTATCTGTTCTATTGGTGATAGCTACAGGGAGGTAGGCGCAAAGGGAGGAAGGAAAGCGCAGGGCGTGCGGAGGCCGTACAGCTGAGGCGAGTCGCCTCTCTCTCTTAGCTACACCAGAGGAAATATCCAACTCCAGCTTGTGGTGATCGGATCCCTCGCCATGGTGAAGGTCATTAGAAGCACCAACTGCCTTTTCTTTTTCCTCTCTTACGACTTGCAGATGCACATTAGAGCCGCCAGCTGCATGCGCAGAAGACTCTCTGTGGCTCCCGTGGCTACCGTGGCTCCCGTGGATCCTCTCGCTTTCTTCCCACTCGGAACACAATTGACCCAATTCTTCTGCAGCTACGTGTTTACTGCAGAAGAGTAGCAACAACACAAACAGCAGCAGCAGCACCAGGTGGTTGGTCATGGGGTCAGGCAGCATAAGATCCCCACAGTCAGGCAGAACCCTCTTAACTGCACCCCTCGCCCTTTTGCATGCACAATAACGCTAAGGCCTACAGACTAAACAACAAATCCTAAATACTAATCTACTCCTCATTTACGCACATATCTGGACTGTACCGGGACCAGGAACAGAAGAGCAGCAGTGACGGGGCGGAGGTCTTTGCTGCTTCTGCCCACATGGCGAACTCCTCAGCGGCTTCTTCCCGGGTTCGAGAGCACGAATTGAGCTGAGGGCAGAACAGAGGATCGACAGCAACTGCAAGCACAGTTTCTAAGATAGAGGAAAAAGAAAAGAATGCTGTTCCTTTCTGGCCGCCTTAAAACCAGACAGAGTGCTCCCAAACAGCAGCAGGTTACTGTATCAGCAAACTACTGCAGCAAAGAGCGGCAACCAGCTTCCGCAGAACAAAATGAGAACAATTAGCTGGAGACGTACCTTAACGAAGTCTACTCCCCATTGCGCCGCCTCCTCTAAAAACTCAGAAGCAGTAAGCCTGAAGAGCAAATAGATGCATACACACTTGACAACACCAAAAGGGGTATATAGATGTTAATATGTAGCATATGAAGCGGGAACGGGTCTAACTCCTTTTCTACTATAAACAAAACCCTGAAGGCAGGCATTGCCAAAGCTCAACAGACATATAAGAGGAGCAGAACTAGTAGTGCTGCGGAGGCTGCAGCCCTTACCCGTCGGGTGAAGGTTGGAGTTCAGGGCAGTCTTCTGAGGATACGGTAAGTCCTAATCCAAAGAGAACCCCTTTCGTACTTGCAAACTGAGCAATAGATTGAACGCTGTTAGGAAACATGGCCTTATTGACTTTGCTTCGCCTTCGTTGTAGGGTTGCTTCCGGTTCCATTCCTTCGTTTTCCCCTGATGAAGGGCGGGCAGCTGGCACATGCTGGTTGCCTTCAAGCCAACAGTTCTCCACTGCAAAGTGGTGCATGCCATGCCTATGAGCGGAAGAGGAAGACACTACATTTAGTGCTTCCATGAGGGCCTGTTCGTCCCAGTCGTTGGTTCTGCATCTTCCCTCTGAGGCAAACAGACGCGCACAGCAGACGGGGGCCAAAACGTCTCTTTTCAACAAAAATGTGCTGAAACCTAGCAACAAAATGTCCTTTAAATTGACATTGTTGCATCTCCTCGCCGAAACTCCTCAGCTTCGTGTGGTGAGCATCCTGCTGTTTTCCGAAGTTCAACGTCGAAACAGAAGATTAACTCACCTGTCCATGGAGAAATTAGCCATCCAGCTAGTTTTCTGTTCTCTTTTGTATGTGGCATGTCTACGTGAAGGCTGTGGAAACTTTTGAAAGCAGTAAAAATTGGTATTTGGGGGTGGTCCGCCTCATCCTGAGAAGTATGGACCACCGGCCCCCCGGTGAGTTCCTCCAGAGGAAATTGAAGGGATCCTTCCTCATGAAAGGATATTTCAAAGGGGCTCTCAATTTCTGATGATATTTCTAAAGGTATTAGGAAAAGTATAATAGAACACGCAACTGGCGCCAGACGACAAACCAGTCGCGTGGGAAACATGAATTGGAAGCTGATGGCGGGCATGGGAAAGAAAGCCAGGAACAGCAGATGCAACTGTCTGGTCTTCCCTGTTTTTAAAATATCATAAAATCAACTATTCGCGAAAAAAAAGAAATTAAAGGCAGTTTGGACTCGGAAGACGCAAGAAAGCAACTTGCAGACACTCTGAATGTGCAGAACCCAGTTCAGGTTTCACGAGGGGGTTGGCTGAAGGCCAAGAGACCCTCTTCGTCTTGCTTTTCCGTCTTGTCTCACAACTGACCTTCCTTGCGTCGTCACCGACAAACGACGTAGGAGTTAATAAGATTATTAAAACGACATTTATTTCTCTCATTATTCTTTTCGCTCCCTCGAACTCTCCCTTTGATGGGCTTCCCCGCAGGGAGCAAGCGGCCCAGTTAGCGAAGGTCCTCCAGAAATTGGGTGACTGGAGATAAACTATAACATACATGCGTCTACAGCAAATAATATTTCTGCACGTTCTTGCATCTCGAATATGATGGTCTACTTCGTTTAAATATGGGCTTCCAGCTATTCTACCTGCCTCACTAAAGTACACATTGGGTCCTACAACCCTATCAAGCATCGCACTGGTCAGCGTGCAGAAGATACCGTGCTCAAAAACCCAAGAGGTGCATAATAAGTCACTGAATCATTATAAGTGAATCGTAACAATAATATTGTGGATCCTTTTATACGAACAATGATATCTGGACTCCTGTGAATATAACAGCAAAAAACCTACATGATGTCCAGCCTTCAGAAGTGCAACATAAGAAGTTTATCACGCTCTTCGCGCGCCGTAATATTACAATATACAATTTTAAATAGTGGCAAAAGTAAATAATAAGTCATCAAATCCTAAGAAAGAGTTTAATCAACCCCCAAGATTGCAACTACCACTCAAGACGGGGGGTCGTTTAAATGTCGTCCGCAATGCACCTGTCGTTGTGAACTTGCGGAGCAAAAAACAAGAGAAAACGGAGACATCAGCAACAACACAGCTCTTAAAACGAGCGGCTGTGAGGCGAGGCAGCGTGAGTTCGGACTCGCTGCATATATAATATATACTAATATTATACATGAATATATAATATACTTATTATATATACATTCCAAATATATATTACGTGCAATGAGCATGCATTGAATATATTGCATCAGCATTAACTGTGGCAACTTATAGGCCCCCACAGCCAGGCCCAAGGAGGCGCCAAAGACATTCATTGCCCGATGGCGTGGGCCCCCCCTTTATTTATGACTCTATTGACGGGTCTGCCTACGCCGAACGGCGTCAACACCTAATATACAACCTCCGTGGCCCAGGCAGCAGGAGCCCACTGTAACAGCATGCAGTTCGATCTTGCGATCTGGAGGCTTCCCGTCAGGAGATCTTCGGCGGCGGTGGACTCAGGCGCAGCAGAGGTTCCTCGCCCTCTATGCCTCCGGCTTCCAGCGAATCCTGTAGCAAGAATGAAGCACAAAGCATCACCCTTTAAATCCCCTATATTCGTTCCTGTTGCAGCAAATGCCGGGGCGAGAGGCAATGAAAGCAAACTGTGGTATACGGAGTGAGAATGAAGACTAAAAGCAGGAGAGAGGAACAAAGCCCTAAAATCCAACAAGAGACCCACGCGTAAAATTGCAGCCTGGAGAACCTCCGAATTCCCCCCAAAAGCGCTGTCGAGGTCTAGCTTCCGCTGGCAACACTGAAGAAAAACCAAGAAGACAGAAGACAAAGAAGACCCGACATTAGATCAATACATCACTGCTAAGCATGACGTCTACGCGCTGATAACATTTCTGCGTCGACCATCTTTCTGTCTAGGCTCGGATTTACTGCAGACACCAAAATTGTGGCTATGTGGAAGGCGAGAGAGAGCAGCACAACACAGGTGTTACCCTCCCCAGTGAATACATCTTCTAAGCATTCACGGCAGCAACAGACAGATGGGAAAAGTGTCCCCTTCAGCAGTAGCAGCCGCAGCTCCAACAGGTGCATGGACAAGATGCAAATGCAGCAGCTGCTGCAAGAACAGTCAATAATGTACCTTTAGAATTGACTCCTCTACTGTGCCGCGGCAACAAAGACGATACACCATCACATCGTGCGTCTGCCCAAGACGGTGTACACGGTCCTCTGCCTGTCGGTCGTTCTGTGGGTTCCAGTCCTATTGAATCCACGAAGCAAACAATACGCGCACAAACAAAGCAATAAGAGAACACGAAAGACCCAACCGTTAAAACAGAAAACCACCACCAAACACCACCTCAACTGTCTGTGGATGATAATATTTGATATTATGCACTGCCTTCAAACTTCAATTCTAAACAAATAATGAATACTACTTTTAATTCTCCGTCTGTCCCCCTCTGCCCACCTGGTCTAGGAGGATAACTGTTCGGGCGGCTGTGAGGTTGAGACCTTGCCCTCCGGCCTTTGTTGAGAGTAGGAAAGCGGTACATTCTCCTGTTTGGTTAAATCCATCCACCAACCGCTGCCGCTCCTCTACGACAGTAGAACCATCGAGGCGACAGAAACGGAGAGACGGCATATGCAGCTGCAAAGCCTCCTCCACCACATCCAGGAATGTTGTAAACTGACTAAACACCAATACCTTCTCCCCCCGACTCTGCACTTCCTTTAGCAATTCAAACGCCTTTCTGCACACGCATAGCACACGCACAACCAACTCTGGTGAGTGCACACCCACACAGTTGCATGCGCGCCCGAATTGACTCTTGAGCACTCCATACACTGCACACAACACAGTCTGTTGACACAACAACAGTACAGAAACCGTTGCGCCGATTACCCACCTCAGTTTCGTGCTCTCGAGGAAAGCCTCAGCAGGCAAAGCCAAGTCGGACAGCTTCATGTCGCCCTGTTCAGCCAGCATACGAATCCCCTGCAAACAATACAGAAGCAAACACAAACAAATTAAACAAGCAAAACAAACGTAAAATAACCAAATAAAAAACAAGAGAATCTGCGCGCCAACAGTTTTTCCTGCGCTGCCACACTCTACTTTTGCAGCACACTCAGCCGTGTGTTCCACTGAATGTCAAATGAAGCGCAGAAGCACTTGAAAACGGTTGTTATATAACTTGGTAAAAGACCTGCTGATATTGTTGAGGCATTAGTTGGTAGCCTCGTCAGTAAAGGTGCCGTTGATTAGGCACTAACAATAATGCCACTGGAACATATTCCTATACTCGAGTACTGCAACATATTACTGTGAAAATATGAAGTGCTGTTTGCGATGTGGCGAGTATCACTTGATGTATTTCGTAGTCACTCCACTTGTCGAACTCTGCACGAATCTTCTCGATCGGGTTTCCTTTGAAGCCGTCCACGTGATACGCGTAGTGTCGAGCCATGCGCTGTAAGTACACCGCAAGCTCACAATCACATCAAATACACTGCAGCACTAGACCCAAGGGGACAGACAAGGAAAAAGGGAAAGAGGAAGGGAAAGAAAGAAAAGGACCAAGTGAAAGAACTAAAGACTCAGAATGAGACACGTGCAAACAAACGAAGACAGACAGAAACAGAGATGCACGTAAAAACAAAGAGAACGAGGCAAAAGAGTCGATGAAAAAAGCAAAAACAGCCGCACGTGAGGAGAAAGGCCGACCAAGAACCAAACGACAAGTGGAAATCCCAAGCCCAACGAAATTAAATAACAGAACATAATTTAATTCTTGACACGCGAGATAAACTGCCAGACGAACAGCAAGGTTAAGCATCTGTACAGCACTTACGTCTTTCTGCTCCGCAGTGTATCGACTCTGCATGAGAAGCGAGTGGTTGCAAATTCGACGCAGACGGAAGAGCAAACTGCTGACAAACCGCTTGCCCCCTACCTCTGAACACAAAGACATGTGCTTTCTTGCTTAGCCCTAAACAGCAAATAGCTGTTAAGAGCCTCACCACCACGAAGAGGAATGCAGAAGACCAGAAACTACAGGGGCTAGATAGGCAAGAAAACCCAAAACCAAATTGAGAGAGAGCGGGAAGGAAACACTCAGAGTCCACCGACACCTCTGATCTCTACCCTCTGCAACCCTTCAAAGAAGCAAAATACGTATACGTAGAGGGTGCAATGCAGCAGCAGATGCACAGGCAGGTAACTAATACCGAGAGCAACAACGGAAGCATAAGAGTAGTAACAGTAGATAGTGTGGGAGGTACCACTGCCGTCTTTTGATTCCTTGGCTTCCTTGCCACTCGCTTGCGTGCCGTCCCCAACAGCGGAACTTTTGGATGCTGCTGCACCACTGCTGCTGCTGCTGTTACTGGTGCTGGCGTCTTGGGTATCGTCTTCGTTGGGTGCGAATGCGTGTGTAAGTCTTCGGAGTGAGAGGGCCAGGTCGGACTGATGCCGCCTCACCTCTGCCAAGTAGAGGGTCTTCTGAGAGCCATCGAGTTCACAGCGGAGGACTACATTTGTTTTCTTGGGCAGTTCCTGCATCACTTCGCTCTTTAGACGTCTCAGAATAAAAGGAGATAAAACCCGTTGCAAACAAGTCACGTCAGCAGGCAGTTCGCCTTCTGCTGCACCATCGGAACCCTTCGTAACCAAAGAGTCGAAGGCACGACTCAAAAACCCCTTTGATTCCCAACCATCTAGTGATGCCCCCTTTTGCTCCTCGGAGGAGCTGTTGTTGCCGTTGCTGCTGCTGCTCTGGTTGTTGTTGCTGCTGCTGCCGCCATTGGTGCTGCTGCTCTGGTTGGTGTCGCTGTTCCCGTTGGTGCTACTGTTGCTGTTCGAGGAGCTGGTCGTGGTGTCAGGTTCTGCTGTATTCGTACTGACGCCTTTGGGTTGCTGTTGCGATTCTCCCTGCTGTTGCTTCTGCTTCTCTGTTTTGACTTGTGTTTTCAGTTTACAAACCCGCTGTCTCTGTGCCTGTCTTTCAAATGCAGTGAGAGCCAAGTCCAACGACTCGGCATCGAATACCGCTGGCATCAAAAACAGGAGTAAATTTCTCAGTTCCCCCGTTCGGTTTTGAATAGGCGAGCTGAACATACACACGAAACAGCGCTTAATCAGTAAGAGGGCACAGACACAAAAAAACACTGTCAAGAGAAACAGCAAAACCATCGACGAAACCTCCCCTCTGCTAAGAGGGAGAGTGGAGGCTAACACCACCTCGACAGGAATCCCGACTTCAGCACAAAAAGGTGGATAGTGTTTACTGTAGTGAGTGTAGTGTTGACGGCTTAGTGTGTACCGTGGCACTGTTCGTGCAGGCATGGTTCGTGTTCGTCGTGCTTCAGTGTGTGTGCTGCTGCTGTATACGTCATGTTTCGCCTGTCAAGTAATATTCAATATTGCACTGGCTGTTTGCATGTGTTGCTGTGTACCCAGTGAGCAGGATGCGCCGTTCGCATTTGGCCACTTTATTGATGTTTCTGTAGACTTGGGAATCTTTGTTTTTGAGAGCGTGGGCCTCGTCGACGACGAGGTAGGCGAAGGGGCGGAGTTGGCGCAAGTATTGCAAGTCCCATTTGTTGGAGAGGGAGTTGACAGACGCGACCAGAACTCGGAAGGGATTTGCTGACTGCAGCGACTCTATACACTGCAAGGCCAGAGTTCGCCGCTCCGCCTGCTTCCCTGCATACTTCACAACCCGCCCTGCAAGATGGGGCGCCCACATCTCCAACTCCCGTACCCAGTTGTCCACCAAAGAGGCCGGTGCGGCCACCAACGTCGGAGTGGACAGCAACCCGCTAGAATACGCGTAGTTGAAAAATACGCACGTCTGAGCTGTCTTTCCCTGACCACCAACACACAAAAGCTGCCATACCAACCCAAATTAAACTCCACAAAACAGCACACAAGACAATACAGCAGAACGTCCATGCAGCAGCACGACAAAACATAAAACACAAGCAAATTCAACGAACCAGATGGCAGAAAGCTCGTCCGAGAGAGCCTTTCACTACTGAAAATGCGAAGTGACGAGAAGCAATTCCAATAAAAGCATCCAAAGTAACACCCGTGGTGAATACAACAACTTTCCTCCTCCTGCATGTTTCAACGGGCGCTGCCCTTGAGCCTGGTGTCACTACTTCACAGGCTTCTACACAATCTGGCAAAAGAGGTGTCACGCGGGTCGGTTTGCTGGTTCGGTTCCTTCCGTGTACGTTTCTCTACCTCCCTTTCCCTCCCTCAAGAGAACAAAGAAACAAGCAAACACGGAAGCGAACGAGCGAAGAAACACCAGGAAACACGCGAGCAAAGACAGCCATTGATGGAGGCAGATATGATGTTGTTGGAGTTAAGTTTTTCTGGCTCACAAGTCCCATTTCATCGGCTAGAATTCCGTTTCTGTTGGCTTTGTGGAGGGAGGCCAGCCAATGGACGCCGCACTTCTGGTAATCCTTTAGCCTCTCCCACCCGTCACCGCAGTGCTGCTGTAGCGACTGAGGGATGCCCATGGAAGTGCTGCAGTGGCATCGACCTGCACCGATCTGCTGCCTAACACGCTGCTTCCCCTCAGCTGTAGGACCCCCCAACTCCTCCACCAACGAATCCGTCATCGCCTCCGACTCCTGCAGGCACAGCTGCAAGGCATCCAGAGATGCTTCGTCGCTGTCCGATCCATCGCTCCCGCTGCTGCTGCTGCTGCTGCTGCTGTTCTTGCTGTTCCGAGCACCGCTACGCGCTCCACCCGATGGACAAGTGCCGCCCCCAGCTGCACCTGCAGCAGCTGCAGAGCCACCTTCACTGTCGCTACTTGTCGAGCACAACGCTCCAATCCCTCCCCTTAACAGCTTACGCCGCTTCTGAGTTGACTCCCCAGAAGTAGGCAACATCGATACTGAGGCAGGGCTCCGCTGCTGTTTCCCTGTTGCAGCCGGCGTGGTACTGGTCTTGCTATTGCTGCTCTTGCCGCCGCTGCTGCTGCAACTCCCCCGGCTGAGACTCGACCCACTGAAGGGCCCGTTGTTGCTGCTGTTCCCAAAAGAGAGCCATCCTGATGGCCTCCCCCCTCCCCTATCGTGCAACGAGGCAAGTCGCACATCAGGTGTCGCCGCTTCAGAAACAGCAACAGCAGCAGGCCGTTGCTGCTGGCCTGCAGACGTTACGCTTGCTGGAGATGTGGCTGCTGCGGCATCTGTACAGTGCACCATACCCTGATCTGTTGGGCCAGTAGTGCGCTTCTCCATCGCTTCCGATGGGGCGCCGGGAGAGGCACTTCCTTGTTTAGTATCTGATGCCTCTGCTTTTTTTTCCTGTGTGTTCTTGGGTACTAAGGTCTGTTTAGAATCTGAGAGGGAAGAGGAGCCTTCGGTGGACTCCTGTCCATAGGCAAAACGCCCCCAGTCAATGCATTCCACAGGCATTTCCAATGTCACCAAAGACAAAGAGCAGAACTAAACCCGCTCCAATAGCACGCAGCAAAGCAAAACGCGCAAGATTACAGCAGCACAGCAGCAGCAGCGGGGAGACTGTACAAGGAATCCAGGGCCCCCACTCTCTGCTGCAGAATGCGCAGCCGTAAGCGACAGTCCACTCCAAATACTCTAGAGACCCGGCCTTAGACTCAAACGGCAAATTAAGCATGCCCTATCTCTCTCTTTAGTGTACAGACACCCGACGGGAACGGGATGCTTGCAGTCGTTGCGAGCGGGAATTGCTGCGGCAACAGGTCCCTTTGTACCCGCAACAGTGGATCTGCAGCGCAGTATGTTCAACGATTTAAAACACCAGCAGCAAACTGAATCCACCACCATCAGTCTCGATGGGGGCACGGTGGCGACAGAGCGTCGGCTGGCCGATCAGGAAACCACATCAGACAAGTCCTGGAGAGCCTCACGCAGTCTGGGGTGGGTGGGGGTTGGGGGTAAAGGAATGCGCAACAAAGCAACAGATAAGCAACAGCAAGGCACCAATCCGCCAAGACAGGAGTAAAGAAGTCAGCAGAGGAATGAGGGATGCTGTTCGGGCGCTAGTCGTGGGGAGAAAAGAGAGCTGCTGCAGTGTTGGGAGGTTGGAGGGCCTTGCCTCAGAAGCTGAGAGAGAGAGGCAGTAAGACGGAGAGCAGCAGTCAGTAGAGGCAATATTCAAAACGGGAAGGCCCTGCAGAAGCAGAGAGAGAAATGAAGGAGTGGGTCAGTCGGCTGTTCACGCAGGGGCCCCAAGGGCTGGAGCAGCAGTCGCCAGACGTGGGACTTGAGAGGCGTCTGCGAGGTCAATCGTCGGCGTTCATCGAGTAATTGATAATTGAAAATGTCTCTTGAGACGGTTAATCTACTCAAGTAAACCAACAACGCAGGCAACGCAAGCGCACCCCTCTCGAGAAGGGTGACATTGCAACGAGAAACTGCGGCGGACGGACTTCGTGCTAAACAGACACCGGAAGCACGCGGGTTTCTCCCGACGCTGTCATTATGTGGAATATCTTCAGTTGCAAGACATGCAGCATTTTGTTTATGTCGGTGTTTGTTGTTCTTACTTGCGTAGTGGACATTTTAATCATCTCCGCTATCATCTAACCTTTGAGGTGAGTATGTTCCTCTGTGGATTCCAACATAAGGGTGCCGAAATGCACCTACACCAATGGCCAAGACTTTGTTCACGGATTCTTTGGGGTGGCGAGGACCAGTGACCCTTCGTAGATGAGGGTATAGCGGCTTTGAAGCTCATGGGTACATCGCTATGTTCCCATGTTCTTGTTTGTGTTTAAGCTTACGCATATATGTTAAAGTTCCAGCGTGCACGACCTTGCCCTCATGTCTATGATCGCATGCTCATGTGATCATATTCATACTCTCATGTTTGTGTCCACATGCCCATGGATGGTTGTTCCTTGACAGGCCACGGTCAAGATGGAGTCTAGACCACTTAGATGTTGGGAGACAGCTCTCAAAGCATTTAGCGTTTTTCTCATGGGCCCTCAGTCAAGCCACTACAGGTGATATTTGTTGTCATTCGCTCACGTGCAGCAAAATGTGGCGGTAATAACCAGTGTGTGGTGAATATCCACACGCCTGGAGGAGGTCAGCATACACCCGAAAAAGTCAGTATACACGCAAATACTAGAAGGTAAATGCCACACCCAAACGGGAGAAATGAGGCAGCTGGTGCATGGCAAGTTCCTCCTGCTTCTGGCGCGGGGCGTTTATTGGGGATATACGAGAAAATGATCGTGTTATTAACGAGGCGTTTGGACGAATTTTTCAGTATATTTTGCAGGTTTTATCACCAACTCTTGCGTTGTCTTCTCCTCCTTGTTATCCATTCCTAAGCCGCCGAAGGACAAACGTTGCACCCTTCCACTCCTTGAACAGCAGAGGCGATGTTCATCTGCGCTGGTTCCTAGGTCATTTTGTGTTTTATCAGTGCACCTCATAGAGAAATTTTTCATGTAGTAGAGAGAATGAATCAAAATAAGCTGTATGCTCAAGTGCCTTTCTTGGATGGGCAAATGAGTAACTATCCAATCAGCAAGATGAAGTGCAAAATACACTCATGGAGAGCGGTCCCTACTGCTGCGTCTTGCAGAGATATGTTGAGCATTTCGAGCCGTCATTAGTCCAATAAGATGGGATGGGGATGCATTTATTTGACTGTGTGTGCCCATGCATCTTTCCTTGTCAGTCGAGTCATTTTCTTCTATTTATCAGTCAGGCGTGATGTAGTTCCCTCTCCACAAGGCCACGAACTCTGTCTGCTACGCAGTCGAGGGGGTCGTTGACAGCCTAGTGGAGCAATAAGGCGCATTCAGAAGGAGAGAGCGTCGTCTTTATCTGCTCCTTACTGCTCGAGAGAATAAATAAATGTGTAAATAAATATGTTGAAAAGCAACTCATACATAGTAAGCACCTCTATATACATGAACGTATGCAGCGCAAAGTCCGGTAGAAGAATTGTTTGAGGGCTGTGGCCAGATCAACAGACCGACTCGCCTTCAATTCGTGCCTGCTGCATATTCGACAATTAGCAGCGCAGGAGTCGGAGGCTGCGGTGTGTTAACCCGTGGGAAGTTTAAACCTCCTGGGGACCGTGAAACATAATGAACCCTCAACCCTTAGCATCCCCGAAGCAAGACAAACTAGCATGTCGGGGGTAAAGTTCCCATATGTCTAAGGCCGGTTGGCCGCCCGCAGAAATTGAGCAGTGGCAAAAATGTGTTGCCTGCCAAGAGAGAACGAGGCCAAAGAGCCCCTGTGGTTCATCCTGTGCAGAGCAGGACCAAGTGGGCTCTCCGCCATAGCCCTCCTCTCGCACGGACATGCCTAATTAGCTGAGAACAGTCTTCAAATCGCGAACCGCAGAGAACGACGGGGTGTTTCCCGTCGCTCAGTTGCATATTCCTCATTGGAGTGCAGGCGTTCCTCTGCGTAGTGCATTGCATGTGCTGGTATTGTGGGTGACGGTTCTCTGTGGCTGCGGCTATGGTGGTGGCGGTGCGAGGAGGAGCCGTAGACGCCCCGCATCCACCTACCTACCCCTCCCCATCCTTTGGCCTTGCTCCGGCTCCGTTTCTGTTTCCCCTCGCCGCTACATGAAGCGCCGTCGGTCTGCAGTACCCGCCCGCGTCTGGGGCTGCTAATGCTCGCCGCTGGCATTTCAGCAGACACGCCAACGCCTGGTGGGGGAATTCCGCGCACTGCCGGGACACCAGTGCTGCAGCAGACAGCTTGCACATGCGCATTACCCCTTAAACTCCTCTGGGAGCTCAAGTGCTTGTTGCAGAGGCGCACAAATAGATGTTTGCATACAAACGAAGAGAGATTGCTGCTAAAAGTGTTGTTCTTTGCTGCTTCCACCAAGCACCGGCATGCAGCTGCTGTTGGTCTAGGCCTCCGTAACTTACGTTTTTCCATTCCTGTCTAGAGAATCCCCAGAAAGCTCCTGCTGCGGCGACTCCTGCTGCTGGCGCGCCAGCTGCTCTGCAGCAGCAAGGCAGCGGCCTTCGGCGTCCAGCATCACTAAGAAATCGTTCACGCGATCCAACATTTCTCCGTCGTCCTGCGCAGTTAAAACACTATACTGAACAGGTACGGATATACAATACACTGAACAGTGGCGATGATTATCCGATCAGATAGGGCAATGCAGTACACATGATGACAGTACACTACGTAGCTATGCATGAATGGGGGCAAACGAACGAAGAAGGGAGGGCTTGAGAATCAAGCCGGCTGACCCCGAGAGACACTTCGTTGTCTGCTGCATACTGACGCAGAGAGTCAAGATCTGCCTCCAGAACCTCCAGTTCGCTTGCCTCGTAGCAGTGGCCTCCATAACCCCAATCTGCCAGCAGCAGACACCAGGCCTGCAGAGCAGTGCGAACACAGCCCACATGCCGTCTGCTACCAACACAGCGCATGCGCGTGTGCTTGCAAGCACCCTCGGTCTCAGTGCTGTTGCATGAGCATACACGGGAAGGAGAGGCATGTGAGACGCCAGTAAACAGAACCGCAGCAACGAAGAAAGATATTATTCCCGCCCCCATCCCCTCCTCTCACCTCCACTAGACAGCGCAAGACAGCCGACGCGAGTTCGTCTTGCCACTCCAACGGAGCAGCACAAAAGAATGCCTCTACTGTCTGAACACAAAAGAATCAAGCAACACCAGCATATCTGCTGCCTGCCTGTCGGCAGCAATGAACTGAGGCAGTCTAGGCCAAACATTAAATGGACCGCCAGGCCTTCTAATGCGCGGAGACGCACGTTTGGAAAGGCCTGCAACAAGCGTGACAGAGTCATCCCACAGAAGGCTTCTTCCCCGCTGTACATGCACCCGAAAATATCGCCTTGCAACTCGTAATACACCAGATGGACTGCTGCCAGGCTGCGAGAACAACAGCGCACCAAAAACAGATGCTGTTCGGCTGTTCCCGTAGCTCGCATACACGTCACAGCAGCTAAACAATACAATCAACAAAGTGAAAGAGATGAAACAGTCGGAGGTTACTGGCGAACATCTACAACAGCAGGGCAGCAACTATGAGGGAGGCGCGCGCCGGCATTAGCCTATTATTTTGTGTATATTAGTTCTTCTGCCTTAGGGTGTTTGGCTCGGTGTTTGTACAGTGCGCCTTATGGAGGGGCGTCCACCTGCCTGCACAGTTCCTTGGCGGTCTCGGTGAGTTTTTGACTAAGTCCTTCCAGGGCTTCATCGACAGCTGCGCTGAGGTCTGCAAGTTCCTCTTGCTGCCGCAGCATCAGCAAGTCGCTGGGTTGCTTTCCCTGTGCTGCTGCTGCTGTGCCGCCCACTGTGCCTCCCCGTTCTTGCAGCAAGCGCAACTGCTGCACCACCTCGACGTCTTTGGGGGAGCGTGCGAGGATTCTCTTTTCGAGGTCCTTCAGAAGCTTCTCGCGCAGTTTCGGCAGCCGTTGCAGGTATAAAGCAGCAATGTGCAGCCGGACCAGCCACCGTTGCAGACCGCTGGTAGGCCGTTGGCCTCCACTCAACGCCGCCTTCTGGCGCAGAGCCTCCCAGTCCGTCAGGGCATCAACAGCGGACAGCAGCTGACATACAGCTGGAGAAAGGCGTTCCAAACCAGACCCAAAGACACGAGGGGGGCCCAAGGCCGTTGGGCCACCGCCAACCCCCCCGCCCTCGACCTCGCCGCGTACCGAGGCCCCTCCACGCATTGCCGAGGACTCCCTGCTGTCGTTGGGTCCAAAGATGAGACGAAATACAGACCGAGAGCGACCCTTATCCTCCTCCACCGGCCGGGATGGGAGGGCCCTGAGGGCCCCTCTTCCTTGCTCAGCAGGCCCCCCCCCTTCCTGCTGCAGGTCAGAGCTGTCCCCGCTGTTGTCGTCTGATGCCAAACACACACAGGCGCCACATGCACAACACTGAACAGTGAAACAGATAATTGTCCCGTGCCTTCACAGCATGCCACTCAAACTGAAGTGTACGGAACTGCTGTCGAAGTAGAGCATCTCGCTAAATCCTGTTGTTTTTGGCGGTATTTCTTGCAATCGAGAATTTTAAAATTCCCAGTTTCACTCTGCAAAACTGCATGCTTCAATACTTGAACTTGCAAATATTAGAATGCGCGCCCAAGTTTACTTCTAGTGTTCGTACGTGATTCAATGGCCAGTGAAACTGAACAATTTCAGAAGATAGAAAGTGCACCTTCTGGTTTCACGATTAAAGAAGTTAGCTAGCGTGCAACAGAAAGCAGTATAACAAAAGACCCACCCTCTATTCCAGAGAGATACGCCGAACCTGCTCGTTGCAAACCGTGCTGCACTTTGTCCTCCTCCCAGCCGCCTACAAGCTGGGTCATTCGGTCTCTCCAGCTGCACAAACACCCAAAACAACTGAGGTCAAACAACTTAGTGTCCATCCGCTGTCGCTTCGAACAGATCTCCAGGAGCCCTGGAATCGTCTGCTACTTTCTTCCCGCCCCGCCGACGGAGACACAACTGCCAGATGCTGCACTGGCGGGCCGAAAGAAGCCAGGTATTCCAGTGTAAAGTATAGAAAGACAGAACGACTACCCAATCCCTCCTCCTCCTCCTCCTCAGCGCCTATCTAAGTCCTGCAAAGTATCGGGCCTAGGACGGAGGGTTCAATTTCGTACCCCTTGGACTTCCTGCGTTGCTTTCGAGTGCGTTCCTCCGCCGTCCGCTGTAGCGTGAGAAAGTGCGCAACGAAGGGAGATGCGGAGAGAGCAGCTTTCCTCCCGCCGGCCTCTAGCAATCCCCTGAAATAGTTCTTCTGTAGCTGCCGCAGAGCCAGGAGCGGCAGCAGCGGACGGCCGCCCCACTCCCCCGGGCCTTCGCTTTGGGAGATGCACGGGTCCGTCAGGCTTCGGATGAGGGCCGCCAGCAATTCCGAAACAAACTGCAGCAACCGAGGGATTAGCCTAACGCCAGAAGCATAGGGAATGCCGCAATAAAGCCCAAAATAAGCCACAACAGCAACGGCGAGCGGCGTGCTGTGCAATATGCATTTGAGGGACAGCCGAGGCGAAATTTGCCCAAGCGGGGGAGGCAGGGATTCGGGAAGAAGCATGTGCAGGTCTGCATGTTAATATTAACATTAGCGGCAGAATCCGGCCATAGACTAACGGATTTCTTCTTACCACGGGAGGGGCAGGAAGGAATCGAGGGCCGCCTCCAGTACCCCGTAAATGCAGCACCACCCGTCTATGGCCTTCTCGCTGTAGACAGCGTGGGGCGGGTTGGCTGGGAGGTAAACGTCTCTGAGGAAAGCCTGCGAGAGCAGATCCGTCAGCCCGCTGAGATGCAGCGAAAAGGAAGCAAACAGCTGAGGGGCCACAACTGACAGCAGGCCCTGCTGCTCCAGAGGAGAGTCGCGCGGAAAGGAGACACACAAAACCTCCCCAAAACAAACCTGTAGCAAAACAGAAGTAAACGCGAAATAGTTAACCTTAGAAACACACCTACCCACCCACCCGCAGTTACACAGACACAGATACACAGGAAGACAGACAGACAGACAGACAAACAAACAAAAAAAGAAAAAAAGCACACACACACACGCTGGAAGAGACAGCCGAACACGAACACAACACAACAGAAATCCCCCAACAGCTGTGCATCTGCAAGAGGCGAAGGGAAGACGAGTGATGCAGAGCTTAACGAGGGTTTGCTCGTCTAGTAGAAGCCCCTCTTTTAACTGGACAGTCGTTGGTCGCAACTTCCAATCCGTCGAGCTTAGAATATAGGGTTTGCATTTAGGTTTTAGGGTTTAGGGTAGGCTTGTACGAACTTGGTCTGCGAGGCGTTCAAATGTGGCGAGTGCGGCTAAGAGGGCCCGTCCTCCTTTGGCCGGAAGTCCCTTCCGCTCGGGGTCTGCAGCAGCCATGTCGGCGCAGCGAGAGACAAGGGGAAGGACCGTCAGCAGCACCGCCTTCGCAGCAGCTAAGACCAACAGCGGCTGCTCCCCTCTTAGCGGCAGCAGCGGAGCGAAGACCGGGGCGTAGAGAAGCAGTTCGGACTGCACATGGCTGTAGAGGCTGTTGATGCCTTGAGCCAACGAACACAGAACTCTGTCTGTCTCTGTCTCTACTTCTGTCTCTGCGTCTCTCGTCTCCGCATCAGGGGCTGAGGAGGTAGGCGCCTGCCGTGTCTCCTGATCCTCTACACCACGCTCCCCCCAACCCCCCTGTGTCGCGGCGTTGCCACCTGCTCCACCTCCTCCGCCTACACTTGGGCCCTCTTCTCTCGCCAGCTGCAGCAGCGCGGCAACTGGCGGGCCCAACACCCTGCCCGCTGCAGCAGACAGCGAGCGGTAGACGAAACAACGCAGCATGTCATGGAGCGGAGAAGGACCACGTAGGATCTGGGGCAGGCCCCACACCCACACGTTCTCCTCCAGGCCGTCTCTCTCTCCATCCTCCCCACACAAAGCCTCGCCCCTCTCTCTGCTGCTCTTTCGTCGGCCAAGGCCAAATCCGGAGTCCACCGCTGCCTGAAGTGCCTCTTGTGTATGCCTCGACCAGTCACTAAATGCTTCACTGCTCACACCGAGAGTTCGCGTCCCCATCTCGGAAAGAGAACCGCCATCCAACTTGTTCCAATGCTGGTGCTGCTGCGGCTGTGGCTGCTGCTGCCGCTCCTGGGTAGCAGACGGCAGCAGCACAAGCCGCTGCGCGAGGCGTACCCACAGCGCAAGGGCCAACGAAAGGGCCTGGGGCTCGAAATGGCGTCTGTAGTCTTGGAGCTGCTCCTGCAGCTGAAGAAGAAATCCTGACCCCAGAAGCTGCAGCGCAGAAACCTCCTGCTGCTGCAACTCAACGCGGGAAGGTAGCAGAGCGGACAGCCCGTAGCAGCACGCGGCCCACTGGCTCTTGCGAAGGGCTGAGAAGACAACAAGCCAGAGACAGACAACCACAAGACTGACCAACAATTCAAATGACCTCTCGAAACCAACACCGGCATACTAAAACAGCAGCCCCCGAAGACAAGATGCGCGGGGCAAATACCACCGAAAGTGAATGCCGGTTACCCCGCTAGGATCTACGCCTTTACGTTTGAGTCCCAAATGTGCAGGAGGGGCCCCCAGTGTCGTCTCGGAGGCAACAGTGTCTGTGTCTGTCTCCCTCTACACTGCCCGTGCCTTGTTTGTCTGTACACCTAAGGGGCTGAACCTGTCCTGAGCAGTTCGCTGCAGCAGTTGTGAAGAGCATGGAACAGAAAGGGAGAGGAGCAACATGCCAGGCGTTGCAGGTCGTGTGACCGTGTCTGTTGTATATCCTACCTCGCTGGCACCTGTCTCCATTTCCTTCGCCCTGGCTGACCCACCAGTCGGCCCCCAGCCACCGCTTGTTCATCAGCAAGCCCGCAAATGTGGGCGCTGGTTCTATCGTGAGGCCTCCATCGATTTCCTCCTCCTGCTGTAGCAACGACGCTCGGATACGCAGCAGCAGCCGTTCCCCTCGCACTTGGGGTAGCAGCTCCACTAACTCCACGCCGCTTCCGCCCCCCTTGTCATCTCTTGCAACAGAGCTCAGTCCTTCTTTGGCCGCCTCCTGCTTCATTAAAGCCCCGAAACCTGCAGGCCCGGCGGCAAGGGTAGCTGGCAGGCAAGCAGAAAGCGAATCCACCCCACCAGTTGAAGAAGCAGGTAGAGCAACAGGGAGCGCCGCACCTGCGGCAGCAGACGCAGCAGTCTCTCCCTTTTGCTCCACGGTTGCATTCTTCTTGCTGCCGCCAAGCGCCCACCCAATTTCCTCTGCATTTCCCTCCGCCCACTGTGCCGAAGGTTTCTTGAGAAAGCCGTTCAGGTCCCGTAGCAGTTCCAAGGCAGAAGAGACAACCTCCACTCGAGCAGGCTCCACAATGCAAACGGAGACAGATGTCAGCTGCTGTATCAACTGCCGCTTCTGCTGCTGCTCCACCAAGGAAATGGAAGAAACCGGTGGCTTTTCAGTCACAATGACACCGGCCTGAGAGGAGCCCCTAGTCTGTTGCCCGAAGTCTGCCGACTCCCCCGTACGTGCTGGACTGGGAGTCACCTGCTGCTGTTGCTGGTGTTGCTGCTGCTGTTGGCGTACGCTCGGGGATACTTTGATGCCGGTGGCCCAGACGCACGCAGCAACAAGCAGCGAGACAGAGTCAAGAGAAATTCCAGGGAAACCGCTGCCTGCTCTGCATGCCTGCAAAAGCAGTGAGGCATTGTTGCTGTTGCTGCTGCTGCCAGTGTGGTCTTCTGCTGACGGGCAGGTAGGATCGGTTCCCACTTGGGATGCGTGGGCCACTAGTAGTAGCCCCTGCACCAGGGAGGGAGCGCCTAGCTGCAGGCCATTAGCAGTGGTGGAGTCGGTGCAGCAACGCGCCAGCAGCAGAAGCAGGGACAGCAGCAGAGGGACATCGATGCACCAGTAGGCGCTTAGGTGAAACTCCCTAGGTAGACACAAGAGTTGCTGCTTTTGCTCAACTCCGTCGAGAACGCCAGCCACAGCAGCAGCAGCGCGGGCAGCTGAAGATTCCGTATCCAGGGTGCGCAACGTCCGCCTCCTCAGGGCCTTCAGCGTAGGCCGCCGGAAGGTCGACCGACGAGCGCACCCAGCAAGGCCCAAGTGAAGGGGGGCCGCGCTTTCTCCCTGTCCTTGAGGAGGGGCCACCCCTCCGTATCCCACTCCTTTCACTCCCTCAACGTCAGAGCCCCAGACGAGACTCCCTGCAGCACAAGATATGCCCACATCCAGGGAACTCAAATCCAGAGAATGCATTCCTCACAGATGTATTGAAAGCGCAGCTGCTTAAGCTAGTTGGCAAGCTACATAGGGCCCTCATGCTGCTGCTCTTTTAGGGCTCAACAAACACACAAAATTGCCTCCACAGCTACAATAGCTGCAACGCTCACCGTCGGATTCATCTGCTGTATCCCCACAGTCGCTGCGCACTTCAGGCACACCCAGCAGGTTCGCAGGCGGTTTGAGACTCTGCTGCCTCCGCATGCGTTGCGATGGATGCATCGCATCGCCCTGAGGAACAGAAGGAGCGGCCCCGCTGGCGAGCTGCTTCAGGGTGGGGTTGTTGTTGCCTCTGGCAGCCAAAGTGCAACGAAGAGCGGAGTCAAGGGCTGCCGCCTGTGACATATTATGCTCCAGCATCTGCAGCAGCTCCATGCCTCCTCTTTGTCTCTGTTCCGTACGGACTTCCCACGTTAGAGGGGCTTCCGCCTCCCCTGTGCCTGCAGGAGTGCCTGCAACGTCTGTAACGTGTATAGACACCTCCTCAACCACCACCGCGGCCTCCGCTTCGCCCCACAACTGCTGCCGCTGCAGCTGCTGTAACGCAAATATGTAGGCGAATATGTGGTAGAAGCAGCACAGCAGACGCAGAGGCAGCAGCTGCAGCTGGGCTGCTGCAGCAATAGCTGCCGCTGTCTCCTCCTTGGAGTACAGCAAGAAGGCAGGGGCCTGAGGAGACCCTTGAGTGCTAGCCGTCTCTCCCTGACACAGCAGAAGAGACCTCAGAAAATACAGGAGGGCTTCCTCATCACTGCGGGTCTTCTCGCGGGCGTACAGCTGCTGCATCGAAACCGGCCTCCACGGGGTTGATGGCACGGGCCTCGCAGCATAATCGGCGGAACGCTTGATTTTTTCTGCTTCTGTTGCTGTCGTTGCTGCTGCTGGTTCAGTTCCTGCTCCTTGGGGCAGCAAGAACTTCAAAAGGCGGGCGCAGCGAGACAGGGCTGCGGCGTGCAGAAGTTGCAGCTGGCGGTCTATGAAGGAGCGAAAGACAGGATCCTGCCTTATATACAAGTCTATCCCTCCCGCTGTTTCTTGCTTATTCGCAGCTGCTGTCGGTGTCGCTGCTGTTGCGGTTGCTGCCGAGGCAGAGGATCGCTTGGAACGCCGTTTAGTTTGGGGGAGCTGTATGAGGACGGGAGGCCCCAAATCGCCTGCCAGTTGCTTCCGGCGCTGTGGCGTGTTGGCACTTCCCGAGGGGGTTGAGGTTCGGTGTTGTTCCGCCAAGGATTTAATGGAACTGCGCCTCCCCTCAGCTCCCCGCCTTTCCCCTCCTGCGGGAAAGACAAAGGAAGAGGCAGAAGTGGCTGTGGACTCCCCAGCGCGTCTCCTGAGGGCTCCCCTTACTCCGTAGGAGGCGTCGAGCTTGCCAATGGCTGCTGCAGCAGCGCCGTGGAGGAATCGCCCGCGGTGCTGCTGCCGCTGCTGCTCCTCCTGCTTGCGAGGCAACGCCCTCGAGGGCGGAGCTGTGGGGAAGAGGGCAGTGCGCCAGGCCTCCATCAAACGGAAGACACGGTAGCGGAGGTCGCAGGGATGAAGGCAAGTGCCGCGAGTTGGGCCCAACCCACTGTCGGATACCGGAGCCAACAGAGCCAGCAGCTTGTTGCTGCTGGAACTCGGCAGCTCAAAGGAAACTCGAGCAAGCTGCAACAGCTGCAGCAAAACCTCCTCGTTTGATTGCTGTAGCAGTGGACTGGGGTTGAGCCAGTGCATCATTGCCCGCTGCCGCTGCCTCGGGACGTTGAGGTTGTGGCGAGAGAAGAAACCCGAATAGAGGCCCCGAGATTCAAATTGCTGCTGCCACTCTCCAAGAGGAATGGAGAAAGGGTGACAGCCCCCAGAGAAGACTGGGCTAGCTCCTGCGCGCGACGGCGCACAAGAAGAAGCAAGGAGCCCTCCTCCACCAGCACTGTTTGACCGCCGCTCCTGTTGCTCCTGCTGCTGCTGTTGCTGGTTCTGGGGATGAGGAGCCTCAACAGCATCTTCGTGGTGAGGTGCGAACTTTATAGACATAGCACGCGCCAACGACTTTCGGGGCTTCCGCAGCTGAAGAGAAGAGGCTGGCGCTGCTGCTGCGCTCTGGCAAGGCTGCTGCTGCAGCGACGAAGTGTCCACTGCACTAACGTCCCCAGCGTCTTCAGGCGATCGCTTCTGCTGCTGCTGTTGGTGATGGTCTTCCGAGTCGCTGCAGACGGCTGTTCCCAACTTAATGGACATAGCGCGGGCCAGCGACTTGCGGGGCAACCAGACCCGAGAGGCTGCAGCTGGTGCAGCGGTTGTGGGAGGACACTGTTCTTCAGGAGACGCGCTTTGGCAGGTGGTAGAAGAGGGTAACATCTCTTCCTCGTCAGCCAGAAATGCCGCAGCAGCGGAGTATTGCGAGTAGTGATATGCTACAAGCAGGAGCAGCTCGTAGGCCAGAACTTGGAGGTCTGACTCTTTCCACTCCAACGGCCCAGCTGCTGACCCTTCATTTGTGTGCTGCTGCTGCTGCCGCCTGCTGGACAACATTTGGCCTTGAACCTGTTGCACCGAAATGCGGCTGGCGCCACTAGAGCGAAGAGATGGGCGTTCAGGGCTGGCGGGTGCAGCAGCAACTGCTGCAAGGCGGCAGCACTGCACGAGGAAGGGTGGTAAAGTGGCGTCTGCCGCGGCCTCCACCGCCGCTGCAACGGACGAAGCGAAATTTGGGTCTGCCCAGTGGATACTCTCCTGAGCCGCCTCCCGGCGAGGAGTGCTGCCACCAAGATGTGCAGACGACAGAGAGGGAGCAGACGCCTCGCCGCCACCTGCACTCCACTGAGGCGGCTTCCCATGGATCCATTGGCTGTTCAGTTCATTCGCCGTACAAGGCGTGCTCAAGAGAGGAAGGGAGCGAAGGGACAGCAAAAACGCCTCGTATCTCAGTTGTACGTCCACCCAAACCATTTCTATAGGTTGTTTGTTGTTTGCATGCGTTGCAGAGGGAGGGCTGTTGTCAGGGGCCCCCAGGATGGGCCCCCCGGCACTGCCTGCTTTGACTGCGGGGAGCTGCACGGCCGTTTCCGAGGAGCCTAGGTCCTCGTCAGCCCTCCCTTGCAACTCCCCCCGGCCCCCCCCCTGGTACGCAACCTGTTGGGAAGGAACCCATGTGTTTTCGTTATCAGAGTCCCCCAGGTGTATAGTCACCTGCTTCCGCACTTTTTGCCGCGGGTTCCGAGGCGACGGCAAACCAGCCGCGGCACCGGCTCCTTCTTTGAGCTGCCGCTTAAGCCCCTCGATTTCCCTCTGTTGGTTTTCCACCTCCTTCCGTTGCCGCTCGTTCTGCTGCCGCAGCTCATCTCGCTCCGCCAGCGCCTCCTGAAGCTGTTTCTCTTGATGCAGTAGCAAGTTCCTCAGGGTTGCCTCGTCTGACATAAGCATCCAACCAACCCGCAAAAACTACTTGCTCATTGCCTCTAAATCGCACTTACCCTACAGACTCGCCTCATAAAATACCCCCTATATTCTACTCTCTGGTCTCTAGTTCAGGCTGGTTCGTGTGCTACCGGGAGAGCACCCCCACTTAACTACACGGGGCGATCACCTAGACAAGCTGTTTCTGGATCGACGTACTTGTGCGTTGCTCGGCATTTTCGACGCTTCCGTTTGCCTGCCTGTACAGCCGAGAGATTAATTCCTCGCTCGTCCCCTGACCTAGCACGTCCTGCTCTGTCCCTCCAGTGAAGCTTCCCGAAGCGCTAGCAGCTGCAACTTCAGCAGCGACGAACAGCTGCAGATCCCGCACGTAGTGCAGCACGAAGCCTGTGCTTCTCTGTTGCGCCGTTAGTGCTGCCTGCAGTTGACAAACAAAACAGTCACTCATCTCGTCTGCACTCTGTACTTGTCCTGACACACAAAGACGAGGGGCGGCATATTAAACGGCCCCTCGAGGCCACACCTAGACTGTTAGGCTACCGCAGCACAAGCGTGGAGATAACACAGACGGCCTTGAGGGTCGGAGTCGCAGAAGCACTGAGCAGGAGAAAAGGGTGACGCAAGGAACAGACAACAAACTGTCAACTATTTACTTTGCCAGCAGCCCTCATCGAATGCAGCACAGCGGCAGAAATTCGGCGTTGGTGATCCTCAGGTCGTAAACCTTCCGCCTCCGCCCATACATCGCTATCTGCCGCCTTCAGCAGGCGAGCGCCGCCGTGCAGCTCCAACGAAGCCCTGAAGTGGCATCGCGTAGCACAAGCAAACAAATGCTTTCAGGGATAGCGACTAATCGATCGAGGCGATTCCACCACACACCCCACAGGCAAGAATTGTGCATATAACTAGGGAACTCCAACGATGGAGGCTATAAATGCGTAAAGATTCGCTTGCATTGCACTTACAGCGGATGAGAAGCTGAGGATGAAGGATCTTGTTGCAGTCTCGATGCGTCTGATGAGAGGGCCTGCTGAAGAGCTTCTTGAGCCGCTACCTTCAAGCGAGAGGCGCGCGAAATGCGCTGTACTGCCTTTTGCTCCAGCGAGGAATTAACAGCGGAGCCAAACAGGGAACGAAGCTCTTGCAAGCTTGCCTCTGCCTTCTGAGGATCATCAAGAGAAACAAAATAACAGATCCAGCGCCGAATGTAATTCGTCCAACAATCAACACAGCCGGAAAGAGAAGACAGAGAGAAACAACGATATACAGGTACAAAGACAACTGCTTAGGCATTGAGCCTGGCACTGGCCCTGATGGTAACCCCCAGCAGAGTATCCAATGTATAACATACGGAGGCATGTTAGCACAAAATCAGCTGCACTGTTGACTGACCGTCAGTTCCTCCTCCGCAAGCTGAAGCCTCCTCGCTGCCTTCTGCACTTCTCCGCTACTTCCGCATTCCGTCGGCAGGTGAGTGGCCGCCTTTGGAGGGCCCGTGGCGTCATAAGCGCGCGACAACGGCTGTAGAGCATCTTCTAAAGGCTTCAGTACGCCTGTTCTTAGGGTTGCAGAGAAGCGATCTGCCTCCGCTCCCGCCTCGGAACACAGAAGTAGCAGACTATTGAGGGCGTCTCGCGCGGTTCCCGCACCTGAAGGTTTACCTGCAGCCCCCCTACTGCCAGGCACCCCTGCAGTATCTCTTTCAAGTGCTGCCGCCGCATTGAGGCCCCGACTGTGAATAGCCTGAAGGTCTTTTGAAAACCGTTCAAAGGCGCCCGCGACCTCCGACTGAACCCATAGCCACGCTGCAGCTGCTCGAGCTTCTATGCACACCTGCTGCCTTTGTGGGGATGGCACAGCAACGGAGGAGGCAACTGGGGCACCATCCCCCCAGCGGCCGTTCATTTCGTCTACAACGATGGGCGAGCCATCTTTGCTGACGACTTCGACATACACGGCCACGGCTTAAGGCCGGGGAGTGCAGGCAACATAAGACTGCTGTGCAACTCAAGAGAAGACCTCCGCATCAGATACAAAGAGACCCCTTAGGATGGCTGGGAGAAATTAAGGAATTCAGAAGCAGGGTCTCAACAGCTGACGGGCAACACGTTGCTGCAGCGGGAGCGCCGTCTCGCGGTTGAGGAGCACTAAGGTCAGAAGGTGGTGCGAATAAAAACAACAAAGCGATATACCGAGAAGAAGGAACTCTCGCTATTGAAAAACTTCAAAAAGTCATGGGCACAGAACCGCAGGGACGAACGGTCGGTGTTGCTGCTAGAGACAGACGGATTCCCAGGTCGGCCTTCGCTCCACTCATCCACAAATTCAGATGTTTCAGCACATAAGCTTTTCAAAAGACTTGTACGTCAAGGATAAAATCGGCTACAGAGGAACCCCAGACCCAGGACGTGTCCCAAACCAACCACGTGCCCAAGGCAGGGCGAGTGAAACCGGCTTCAGACACGATGCAACCGCCGCGAGCTGTTCACATGTAGTTTCGGCTAAATGAGCACAAAACTAATCCTCTTGGGGAAACATTTTAGGGGGTTTCTGCACTACTTGCAGCATCCGATGGGGCCTTGAGTCGTGTCAACACCACATTTCATGAACAGCGCCACTGCTGCTTGGTCGTCGCTCTCCTGCCTTCGTAGCACAGTCTAACAATAAAAGACACATTGGACGTTTCCTTCATCACAATCATAAAATTTAATTGGGGGTCATCACCAAATGGGCACAAAGAATGCCTTCGCCATACATTTTTGTGTGGGTCCGCAGCATTCCCGTGGTCCCAGGTCGAAAGGTGACGCTGTGACGATCCCGCCCATTTGGTTTGCAGGAGGCGTGTGTGCTCAAAGCATCATCAAATATTGACTCGTCCATGTTCGATTCTAAGCTGGTCGTCGCCCAACGGCACGATGCATGGGACGATCTCTGCTGCCCGATTCAACTCCTGTTCAACACACCTGTGACCCAGTGCCACATACATACACACGCAAACAACTCGGAGCCGAAACAACGTTCCGAAGTCCCCGCTCTAACGAATACTACATCAGACTGGCTGCTAATTGTATGATTGGTAAGATTTGTTCGGTGCAGCTTCCACCGGGCCAGTTGCATTCGTTGTGCGGTTTCGAGTCAATTCTGACGCAGGATCTCAATCAGCACGATGAAGAGAGGGTGCACGTAGTAAGAGCGGACAATAATGCCAATCTTAGCAAGAGTATGACTGTTGGGAAATTGATGATTTGCCTCCAAGTGGCAGATTGTCTCTGCTGGCTTTGCCAGTTCTTTCGATGATCCCTCTTTACACGAAGTATTGTGGATGAGCCAGAAGAGGAATTGCAACATCTTTTAGAAAACGAGCAGAGTAGCAAGGCCTCCTGAAAATGATGAATTATGGAACCACGGGATGCCCCTGGACCATCCCACAGCACTAGAATATCAAAAGACCCGATATCTTACGCACTGAAGAATATATGCTTTAGATACTTCCATAATTCTCACTTTCCGCTTCAGTTGTAGTAAGCTTCACATATTTGCTTAGGTAGGAATTTCAGGCATGCAGGCATTCAAGGACGTCTGAGCAACTGCACAGTGGACCATGTGTTTACTCTAGTAGGTGCTCCACGCATGCAGGCAGACCGGCGTGCCGGAAGAACAGCAGATGGGTCCATAGTATTCACTTGGGCAGGAAAGAATGGATTTCGCCTTCTCTGGCTGCATTCCTGGCATGCCTGCATCTCTGGTGCTTGCCTGAGAAAACATATAATGCTCGCTGTAACTGGAGAGGGGGGCACTGGACCCGCTGAGGGCGGTATCCCGCGGGGAGACAGTGGAGAATGAAGACCGGAGTCAATTACAGTGTTCATTCATCGCTTACGTGCAACGTGCTTCCAACTTTACTACTTTCGAAATTCCGTGGTTTTCGTGCTACTTCACTCGTGGCCAGTGTATCTTCTTCAATATATGATTAGACAGTGTCCAGATGAGCCAGAGAGAGTGTCAAGTACTGTACTAGAAACGCGAAGTGCGTACTATGCCATGATCGAATGTACTGGGTACAAATTTTAGAGGGAAAGCTTGTGTGAGTGCTGGCTAACCACGTTACATTTGCAGCACGGATAAAATCCTGGAGAAGCAAAAGGTGGCAAGCGGGCATCTCGTACACAACGGAAGAAAAAAAGGCTACTTCATCAATTTCAGTTGTTGTTGTTGGCAGAGTCGTTGCCAGTTGACCTGAATTTCAACATGTCTCTGTCTCTTTGGAGGTGCTTGTTGTCCACCATATTGGGGCTGTGAACTCTTTCACAACCGTTCTGCGTTGCGCTCATGATGAGACATGATCACCGCCTTACGCTTCCACACTGAATAATCGTTGTTGCAGTGGGACAAGCTGCAACCCCAGGAGTTCGGCTGGAAGGAGCGCGCATTTGCGTGTGTATATGACCAATTTCACCGACAGTATCAAAATTCAAAGTAACTCCACGACGCAGGACAATCAAGCTGTTCTGAACGCATCGCAGGCGACGGTCCTGTTAGGCATAATTTTGTCAGACAACATGGCCTCAGCTCTCCATGACCGTTAGCTGAGCTCCACGGGGCAAAAGCCAGCATCAAGCGGCATATACTCCAGCGAATTGAGGGACTGAAACCCATCTGAATTCACACGCATGTAGCCTTGATACAAAGCGCGGATCAGGGGATCATCCCTGGTGCATCAGATCCCACAAGCCAGTCGTGTCCTTGAATGCCATGAAAGATAGTTCGTACAAGAAACTTCTTTAAATATTTGGCAAGCAGTTAACTTGCAGGGGGGGCAACCTAATTTGCTAGTTTTGGTGCTTCCTTTGAGAATGCTGGTGGAATACAATTTAGGGGACTCATACGTTGATGAATTTATTTGTGTTTTCTGTGGAAAGCTGCCAGTTGATGTCGAACACCGGCGTAGCAACCGTTAAATCTCGACCACTTGATTTAAGTGCGACTCATTTCCAACAGCACTTATCATCACTCCCCTTCCTAGCGCACATTATTAGAGCTCATCTTCGTGCATGGCTAGAATGATTTCAAAGAACGAAACAGACCAACTAGATATAAGCATTCCCGACTGCAGCCAGCCATGAAATGACATTCCATACGATCTTTGCAGCAGTTACACAATTATGTGGAAAGCGTCGGCCCTCGCGGTGTACAATCCCTACGCAGTCTTCGGCGAAAAAAATTGACACAGAAGCTAGTGTCCGCAGGAATTCCGGATTTCATGCTGCTCTTTTGTCACACTTTCACCAGATTTTCCGCTTGTCTGAGTCGTTGACATCAACAGTATGTGTGTGTCAAGCTGGAAGCGCCTAGAATAATACTCTAATCAGACGAGCTTTCGATGGGCACTGCTCCTTGCTCTATCGTTTTCCTCATTGACTTCTTCGAAAAACAAGCTAGGCCTCCCATCCCAAGAATAGGTTATCATTCTATGAGTTGTTCTCGCTCATGCTGAAAATTGCCAAATGCAGTAACCAACGGCTGAGTCATGGCTACAAAAATGATTGCGTTTGTCTGGGTGGCCAGAGTTGTCTGAATTGTTCATAAGCATTTTGACACATTGCAGTTCTCGAACATCCTGCTGTTGCACCATAAATTTCCACCTACTGCGTTGAATTCTAGCCAAGACAGTGTTGTTATTGGCCCAACATTGCCACATTCAGTTTGGGAGAAAGAATGTGTCGTGAGATTCTCAAATGGAGGGGTTCACATAAATTTATACACATACGTTACTTCCATAGTTGTGGCTAGTGCAGAAGACGCTAGTTTGAACTGTGAAGTTGAACTGCGTGCTACTAAACCTGGCGACTCTTTGGAGGGGGACCATAGGTTTGGCTCCTGGTCCCGAAATTGGGAACAACTTAAGAACATACTGGGAGCCAAAAAGCATTTAAGGTATTTTAATTCATGGTCCGTTGTGATTTAAGTGATCCACTTGCTACTGCCAACTTCGTAGTCACCGTGCATACCACCAACTTCACGACTCCGCAGGCTACAATTCCTGTTCCGCACAGCTTGGCTCCGGTTACTCAACATGCTTGTCCCCTCATATTTTTTCAGGATTTAAGTTATCTCCTTATTCGGACTACAACGAAGATTTGTTTCTCCAAGATGAAGTCGTCGAACCTCCCCCTAGCTCATCTTCAAATGGCACAACAGTGCACGGCTTAACGGTGCTATGGTCTACTCGTGCTATTTCCAATAATTCCTCGTTAGACATCGTTGGGAGACTTTTAAAAGGTGAACCATTGTCGAGGTGTTGTTAGCCAAAGATATTCCTTCTAGGTCTAGTTTTGAACGTCAAGACTCTTGCTCCTGTATCAGCTGTGAATGGCTAAGGCTAGCTCGTACAGTTGGGCCGAACAAAGTGCGCTCATGCTGGGGGTTCTCCAATTAGAGGCGGATTCGATAAAATTTTTGGGCTCAAAGTCGCAAGCTGCAGCGGCGAGTGCGTACGAGACAATGCCATAGGATCGCGTAGGGTCTTCGGAGCACTCCAGGTGTCACTACACCGGACCATTTTTGAAGATCACTACGATCCTGGACAGTCATTCTTAGAATCAAAACATTCTCAACCAGCATCGGTCCGCCAGAAAACAGCGGCACCTAAGGGGCAACCTGGTTTTGATTATACTGAAATACACTTCCCGATTTCTTTTGCGAAAATGTGGCGCCCCAGCGGACTATCAAGTGTTTTCCTGGCAGCATGCCTTGGTTTGGCTCTTTTCGCCACGACCACAAACGCCGAATTCGACTTCCCGGCGGCGAACCTGAGGTCTATCCAACGCCATCTCGTCCGCATGGGCGAATTTTTCCCCGTTAACCGGTACGAATTCAATATTACTGCCCCTGTCGTGGCATGCCCAATGCTCTCTTTTCAGGCCTGGAGAAGGTGACGAAGGCTTCGACGGAGCTCGCCCTGAGAATCCGGAAGGTGGCGCGATTTCGAAATTTGCCTTTTCCAACATGCCTTCTCTCCTCGGAGCTGTCTACCTGTTCTCTGCCGTCTGTTTCATACTTTGTCTAAGAGGCCTTAGCACGCCCCAGACAGCCAAGCGCGGGAATATCCTTGGGTATGCTAATATTGAAATTGTCTAGTCGGAGCATCCTCTAATGATTCGCTTTCCTCCAGTCTTGTCGGCATGGTTGCTGCCGTTGTTGTCACCTTCACAGAAGCAGGATTCGGTCAACATTACTTGCTCTTCTTTGCCACCGCTGCTCCAGCAGTTGGTCTGGGCTTATATATAGCCCAGTCCGTTAATATGACCGAGATGCCTCAACTTGTTGCGCTTTTCCACAGTTTCGTCGGTCTCGCTGCTGTGATGGTGAGACGCTACCAATTTTTCTAGGCGTGTATTACCCCCTGCTTCATGCACCTTGCATCAGGTTGGATTTGCAAATTTCCACTCTCCCGCTGGAGTCGAGCGAGCCTCTTCTCTCCTTCGCCTCTTGGAAGTTTACGCCGGAGTATTTGTTGCTGGCATCACCTTTACAGGATCCGGTAGGATATTCGAACCCCCCCTTTTGCTTAACTGGGTTTTTGCATGGCTTCCCCCTTCAGTTGTCGCTGCCGCCAAGCTCCATGGATCGATGGAGAGCCGCTCACTTAGAGTTCCAGGTCGTCATGCACTAAACTCTGCAACCATCGCTGCCATCGGCGTCCTTGGTGCACTTTTCTGCGTATCTTCTGGTCACCTCACTCGCATGCTTTGTCTGTAAGATGTCAAACTTTAGTCATGCCTATTTTCCTACTGTTCATTCTTGTATATTTCAGCTATGTCAACGCTGGTCTGAGCATGTGGCTTGGCTTCCATTTAGTCGCTGCCATTGGCGGCGCTGACATGCCTGTCGTGATCAGCTTGTTGAACTCATACTCTGGAGTGGCATTAGCTGCCAGCGGTTTCATGTTGGACAATAACCTGCTTATCATCGCTGGTGCCCTCATAGCTTCGTCTGGTGCCATCCTGTCATACATCATGTGCAGGGGCATGAACCGAAGTCTCTGGAACGTTGTTCTTGGTGGCTTTGAGGAGGCAGAGGGAGTCGGTGCAGCTGCCCCACAGGGTGCTGTTCAGCAGACCACCGCTGATGAGGTCGCTGATGAGCTTCTGGCTGCCCGAAAGGTTCTTATCGTACCTGGATACGGAATGGCAGTTGCAAGGTGCCAGAGCGAGCTCGCTGATATTGCGAAGGTAAGCGCCTACTTACATCACTGCGCGTGACTAAGAGATTTATACAAACGAATACAGAACCTGATTAACTGTGGAATTACTGTCGACTTCGGCATCCACCCAGTGGCTGGCCGCATGCCAGGACACATGAACGTCCTGCTTGCGGAGGCTGATGTACCTTACAAAATTGTCAAAGAGATGTCTGAGGTTAACCCAGAAATCAGCTCTTACGATGTTGTCCTTGTTGTTGGAGCTAACGATACCGTCAATCCTGCTGCACTGGAGCCAGGATCAAAGATATCCGGAATGCCTGTCATTGAGGCATGGAAGGCTAGACGCGTATTCGTACTGAAGCGCTCCATGGCAGCTGGATATGCCAGCATTGAGAATCCTCTGTTCCACCTGGAGAACACTCGCATGCTCTTTGGAAATGCCAAGAATACAACTTCTGCTGTGTTCGCTCGTGTCAACGCGGTACGTGGGTTTTGTTTGCTCCCTTAGAAGCCTACACGAGTCACATACGTTCCTTTTCAGAAGGCAGAACAAATGCCACCCTCCGCTGCTCGTGATGACCTCGAATCCGGTCTTCTTGAGTTCGAAAGAGAAGAGCGCGTTGATCAATCTTCTTGGCCTTATCCCAGACTGGGTGTTGGTGTTCTCAAGGACACTAATGGCTCAGTTATGGTGCCCCTAGCCCCAAAGTTTGTTCCTAAGCTCAGAAGGATGGCATTCCGTGTCATCGTGGAGTCTGGTGCTGGTGTCGATGCTGGCTTCTCCGACGAAGAGTACAGAAGAAATGGAGCGGAGATTGAACACAACGCCGAAGGAGTCATCCGGGCTGCTGAGGTGCTGCTTCGTGTGTCAGCCCCAACACCTGAAATGGTTTCCCGTATGCCTAGAGACAAGGTGTTGATCAGCTACCTCTTCCCTAGCGTGTAAGCAGTTCTACTTCGTTAAGCTTAGAACGATTTCTGAACACGTTTGACCCCTTCAGAAACACTCAAGCATTGGACATGCTCGCTCGTCAAGGAGTCACAGCCCTTGCTGTGGACGAAGTGCCACGTGTCACCAGAGCACAAAAGCTAGATGTCAAGTAAGCAATATCATATCCGTGAGTTAGCTGACATGCGACTAATTATACTTTTACAGGTCTGCAATGCAAGGCCTCCAGGGCTATCGCGCAGTCATTGAAGCATTCAATGCCCTCCCAAAGCTCAGCAAGGCATCCATCAGCGCTGCTGGCCGTGTTGACGCTGCTAAAGTCTTCGTCATCGGTGCTGGTGTTGCCGGTCTGCAAGCTATTTCAACTGCCCACGGTTTGGGTGCGCAAGTTTTCGGTCACGATGTGCGCTCGGCAACACGCGAGGAAGTTGAATCTTGCGGTGGAAAATTCATTGGCTTGAGAATGGTAAATTGAACTTTGCTTAGCCTAAAAAAAACCGGAGCCTCATGGTAAAAACAGGGAGAGGAAGCTGAAGTCCTCGGTGGCTATGCACGCGAAATGGGTGAATCATACCAAAGAGCCCAGCGCGAACTGATTGCAAACACAATCAAGCACTGCGACGTCGTCATATGTACCGCTGCTATCCACGGAAAGCCGTCTCCGAAGCTTATTTCACGTGACATGTTACGCACGATGAAACCCGGCTCTGTCATTGTGGACCTTGCAACCGAATTCGGCGATGTGCGCGCCGGCTGGGGTGGAAATGTTGAGGTTGCCCCCAAGGACGATCAGATTGTAGTTGACGGCATCACAGTCATTGGACGCAGACGCATAGAAACCAGGATGTGAGTTTGTTGTTCGTGAGATCCTCCTAGGCAGACGAGAAAATTAAAATGCTTTTTCAGGCCAGTTCAGGCTTCAGAGTTGTTCTCCATGAACATGTGCAACCTTCTGGAGGATCTAGGTGGTGGCAGCAACTTCCGTGTCAACATGGACGACGAAGTAATCAGAGGACTGGTCGCTGTGTACCAAGGCCGTAAGCAAAAATAACTCCTTTCACAACATCCTACGAGCCCCCAACTCCTCCTTTCAGGCAACGTTTGGCAACCCCCTCAACCCACCCCTGTCTCAAGAACGCCCCCACGCAGCATGCAGATGCCACCTGCACCAAGTGCCGGCGCCGCACCTGCAAGGATTGGAGGTGCCTTTGCACAGGCCCTGGCTTCGGATGCATTCTTTGCCATGTGCTTGGTTGTTGCCGCCGCCGTCGTGGGGCTTCTTGGTATTGTTCTCGACCCCATGGAGCTCAAGCATTTGACTCTTCTTGCATTGTCTCTTATCGTTGGCTACTACTGGTAAGTCATGTTATGCATATGAGGCATAAGCAGACTTATTTAAGGATACTGTTCAGCGTTTGGGCTGTTACCCCTGCACTGCACACGCCATTGATGTCCGTGACAAACGCCGTAAGTCAATCATATGGTACTTGACAGCTGTGCCACTACCTATTCATTCCATTTTCAGCTGTCAGGAGTTATCGTCATCGGCTGCATGCTGGGTATGTCAGACGTAAAAGTCCCCCCTACCAAGACAGTGCCTCATCGTTTTTTCAGAATACGGCACCGCACTAATATCTGGCTTCACTCTTCTGGCTATCATTGGAACCTTTTTGGCTTCCGTCAACATTGCTGGTATGGTTCTCTTCACACAGTAGAGTGCATCGAAATCTGTTGCTCATCGTACACTTTTAGGTGGATTCTTTGTCACCCACCGCATGCTGAAGATGTTTCAGATTTAAGGGAAAATCCCCCTTGACTAGTCACACACACTGAACAATTCTTTTTTTTATTTGTTCTTAATTGTTTTTTCTATAAGCTACTCGTTGACTTTGCTACTATGAACAAGTAATCTAGATAGCAAGCATTAGGACACGTTTGCATCTATAGCAAAAGGCACAACGCAGTTGACTTAGCAGGATGGTTAGCACCATCTTTCTATGCCTGGTTATCTAGGGAGATTAGCTACAACGGATCGCGACAGCTTGACCTAATGATTGCTGCGAAAAATCGGGTCTCATCGTATCGACTCGACATGGTGGAGTTTAAAATTTTGAAGAAAAAATACGATAACGCCCTTCAACTCCAGCCAGTCCTTATTCAAACAAGACCTCTAGAACAATCCTCTATCAGCTGCAAACATGGGAGAGTGTCTAACCTTTTGCTATACCGACGGCTTCTAGAACGTAGACGCCAATGCCAGTAAGCACAGAGACCCCTCAGCAAACTTATTCAGCACAGGCTGTGGCTTTATTGCGGATGCTTGGCCAACATGTTAGGTATTTTCGTCATTGGGGGCAGTAGTCCGACGAATTACCCTTGGATTGAAGCTCCTTAGAATTGGAAATTTCCATCTCAGGTAGCAAATATGTTGCAACCACCACGGTTTGGCAAATTCACACCTTGATTTGTGGGCCTGGTGAAGTCGCCTCCTTTTCCCCCTTCGGATCACGCCCTTCTTGCAACAGAGAAGAGAACCATGAAAGCCATTCAGTGATAGCGTCCACAAGTGAAGGTTCATCGCAACGCCTTTCTTGGAATTGCGAAGAAACCTTTGTGCAAATAGTAAGCAGCAGCTCGTTATCTGCTGAGCGGATCAATTGATGGGAAACGGCCTCTACCAATTCCGCGAGTTGCCTGCAGATCGAACATATGCACAACACAGACTGAACAAATACTGTTACTGTTATCACAATCTGTAGCTAATGGATGCGACTGCCACTAAGATGTCCACCGCCTCACAGCTGTCCGGAGGAGGGTCCTGGATATTTCTGCACAAATTCTTCCTTTGCTACCAAGGCTATGGTAGCCAAGCGACAAATGATCTGTGGAAAAAATTCCTCGATATCCGTGCCGATGGAAAGCAACACCTCAAGAGTTTGCAAGCCTGAACTCATAAACGTAGACATCATATCTCGCTATCTGGGTGAGCAGTGCAAAAAGCGAAATCGTATGAACGCGTCAAATCAGGTTATGCATGCATACCCTCTCCTATGGTTTCAAGAGATACCCCCTCTAAAGCCTCGAGACAGAAACTCATCCAGTCGCATAATCTCAGATTTGCTGAATCTCCAGCGAATATCAGCAGATCCCTGGACTGTCTTAAGAAAATCGAGCGAAGCCTCTCAGACGAGTTCAGGGCGGGGTGGGCCATGTCAATCAAGAAGTTTTGGCTGAGCGCACAACGCAAGGAAAATGACGGAATGCTAGTTTTTCTGTTCCTCGGCACCTAGATGTCACAAATCTATGATCGCAGAAGGAAGTGCTCTGCGCACCATTCAAAGAACGATTGATCATATTCATCCGAAAATGTGCGGCAGACGAATGCCGTAAAAGCCTTAAGATATGCATCAAAGCAAACGTCCACCTCGGTGTAGATGGGGAACCCGCCCATCAAGGCCTAAGTACAAGCACACCCGCAAGAGTAACGCACCACAAATTGACACGGTTTAGCTTTTTAACACATGTAGATAACAATGTTGCATCTAATTTTACAAATGGACTCGTGATGCATGAAGGTACTAATGTTACTTACCTGGATTATAGGCGTGCGGTAGTTGTTGAGTGCTGGAGGCAGAAACACACACAGGAATACCCAAAACAGCGTGTGGAAGTCACGATGTAACATAATCTGCAATAGAATCAGTCCTGCTCCTGCTACAGTATTCAAAAATGGAGGGCATCGGTTGTTGCTCACCGCCCATTGCACAGTGGACGACGACTTCGTGGAGGCACTTCCAACCCAGGAAACGAACTTCAGCTGAGTTTTCCAAACCCGAGACGCGAGCAGATCGCAACAATGGTTAGTGTTGGCAATCATGTTATTGACTACACCTCCTGCACTACCAAGAGGCTAACTTCCCCGCTACCGACCCTCAAACAAACTTCCATCATCAACTATAAATACGATGAGGAAGGAATATGTAGCCTAAATCATACCTTGCGGGATATCCAACACGCGGAGTAGGGGCGGGATAATCAAACCTAGACTGCGGTCTTCATCTTTTATCTGAGTACACACTGACAATATAAGAAGCATTCTTCACTTCTTGCAGACGTCTCCTATACGACTAAATGCAGCTCTGGCAGTGTCACATTTCCACTTACAGGTACTGATTTGACGAGCGCGGTCAAGATACGGGAAACATGTATAGCCATTAGAAATGCCCCTTCGTCAGTGAGATATGAAAGAAAACGTTGTTCAGAGCCTCTATTCACTACTGAATTCTCACTCCTGTCTTGTCCAGCTAGGTCAATCAACTGCTCGTCAGGAAGCCCATCTGGCAGTTGCAACCGTCCTGCAGGGTGAGACAGAAGTTGAAACACGCGTACTATGCGCACGGTTAATAGAAGACATAAGTAATACCTCTATGCAATTCTGCAAAAGCACTAACCAGTCAGTGGGCAACGTGGTTCTATCCCTCCGCCTCGTTCCGCCATTTGCACTTCGACAACTGAGGCAGCTGCTCTAGCCGTTAGTAAAATGCGCGAGTCAGCTCGGCTTGCATTGATCTGGAAAGCCTTTGGAAGCTCCTTGGCTGTAAGCGCACGAGAGCATAGGCCTGTCACGGCGTGTATTAATGTGTTTTGTGGCAGTTCCAGGGAGCGCAACCCCATTGGCGTATTTCGGCGGGAATTGAAGAATTCACCGACCTCCTCCAGAAGTGCTGCAGAGGATTGCACACGGGAACACAGAATACTTATGTCTGCAGTAGACTCCATGGTAAAACACTTAAAAATGTATCTAGTGGCTTTTGTATCCTGCAAGAATTAAGACTCCAAATTAAGACTTCACAAGGCATTGTCCTTGCCGGGCTCCTGACCTTTCGCTTCTCGGACTACTGATTCATCGGTTGCAGCGGCAGCAACCCCAAAAGTGTCTAGGCATGTTGACGACCCTTCGACTTTCAGCGCGAACGAGAGAAGTAGGCCCTGCGTCCAAATCAACAGTGCGAGACCGCATGCCTCCTGACATACTAAGACGGGATATTCTAAAGTCTTTTCCAGCGAAACTAGTGTTCCGCTACCGCATTTCTCTTTCCGAACCATCATTGCTCCCCGGCCAGCGTCGTGGCTTACCTGAACGGTAGCAAGGATATAATGCGCAGCCTTATGTGGTGTACCCTCGGCAGCCACGATATTGTTCTCTGCAAAAGCCCAAGATATGCTTTGCTCCAAAGACCTGTTCGCAGAGGAGGCGGAGCCGTCCATATTCTGGCTCCCGGCTGTAGTATGCTGTGATGAAGTGGTTTCCAAACAAAGCAAAGGAGGTAGACAAGCGGAGAGAATTATTTTCTCGACCATATTCGGGCCGTCAATAGATTGCTGAAGTGTCAACGAGGGTGTGCGTATTTCTCCAATTTGAACACCCGGGATGAGGGCAGCTCTCAAATCGCCGAGAGCAGTAAGAAGCTGGCCGACAGTTTCTTCAAAGAGCCGGCGCTGTAAACAAGACTCAGCCTTAGCGGCAGCTTTGGCATTCTCGCCTTCCAGCCTACTCACTGGTGCCGTTCCACGCGTAGTATTGCTGCTGTCACCTCCACATACCCCCTGCACTGGTTGGGGCGGCACTACGCAGGCGGCGAGGACCCTCGAACAACCAAGGAGTATCCTAGGGCCCCGCAGGAGGAGCGCCAGCAAGCGTATCCGCAGGAGATGCTCAGATGGGTTGCAAATACGTCCAAAAGCGTGGAAATTTTGAAGGGGGCAACTGAAAAGTGCAGAGAGAGAGCCGGTTCCGATTTGCTGCACACGGCGTTCCACTTCGCTTGCACAACTATCGATCCCCGTATTTTGGTCACCTAAAATGTGGACCTGCTTGTCACCGACTTGTGTCTTTTCGGAGAGCAGCGGGTGGTGCCCCCCTCTGCCTGCGAGGCCCCAGTCGAGCCACTCGAGGATCTTGGGAAGGACTCTGGTAGCCGTCACCGGGGAAAGTCGAATGATGATCTCAAGAGCAAATAGAGCTTCTGTAGAAAGCACCAAATCAACGATGTTGAAAAATAACAGGAAAGAAAAATGCCGTTGCAAGACTCCTACTTCTTTTTCGTGCGGCAGTGACACGGTAGCTGAGCTGTTTCTAGGCAGTCTCTTATCTTACCCGTTAATACGGCATCCGCAGACTCCGCCTTATTATGCCTGTGGTCGTTTTGGGCCTTCAGTTCAAGCCCGCTTAACTCCGATGGGGAGGAAGTATCGTTTTGTTGATCTAGCGAAACTTTTGCGGGGGTCCTCGGTGATAGTTGAGATGCTCCCTCAGTAAGCAGAGCCGACTCAGCTGAGAGGATCAGAAGAAGCCCCCAATGAAGCGCTGCAGTGCATATGGATCTTTGGTGTTTGATTGTTTCTTCCACCTCTCCTTCGCCTGACTGTGCTTCCTCTCCGTCACCGTCGGCCGCCTCGCCCTTTTCTGAATATAATGCAGCAAGAGTGGCTTCAAAATGGGCTCGGACCTGTGCAATAAACCTCCCGGTCAGCCAATGCGTCTGAACAGTTTCGCTGACCGCAGCTTTGGCTACATGAGTTCTCCGTTCGGGCGGTTTGTTATCCACTGTCTGCCCCAAGGGCCCGTCTTCCTCCCGTAGGGTGTCTGCCATAAGGCCAGCATCTCTCGCTTGCGATGTTGTCGAGGATGAGAGAGTCGAAGAAGTCGAACAGTAGGCAGTCGACTCAGAACCTGGAGTCGGCCGCAGCAACTGAGACACAGCTTTGCTCAGGGAAACCGCAAACAGTGGTCGGCTGCTACCGAGGCGTCGAGCAGCCGCTGCCGCAGCAGCAGATGGGTCAAGATCATTTTGACCCCTCATGGGCGAGATGGCGCTCCCTAGTTGCTGCACTCCATGTCCTTCACCGCGACTCTTGCAAGTCGGTAGGCCGGGGGGCCCCAGTGCTGGAATCGCAGGGGCCGTGACTATTGATTTTAGCTTATTTTTGAGATAAATTCCCTTCAAAAACAGAGTATTAAAGAAAATGGCACGAACTATTCGTCCTAGTGGAGTCGTGTACTTTGTACTGCATGCGGACAATCTCGATATGCTCCACGGCAGCCATCGCAGGAGACGGCCCAACAGGAGAAAACAACTTAATTTTGAGGCATCTTCCGAGAAATAGGGGATCGGTTTGCCTTTGTATAATGTTTCACTAAATCCTAGTCTTATTTAGTTCGTTATCATCGACAGGAGCCCGGAGCGGAGGGGAGACTCCCGATGTCCCTCTCCTCGGGTCGCGTCGAGGCATCTCAGCGGGTCCTACACGAATCATGATGGTGGATTGTAGTTCTGCATAAGGTGGCCACCATGCTCCTGTTAACTGCATAGGACAGCATAGGGGGTAGAACCGCCGCCAACCAAGTCGTCACCGCCGAGCAGGTCTAATTGCTAGAGCCCTGGGGCAGGGGCCCTGCAAAATAAGGAAAGAAGCGGGATTCCAGTGCCATTTGTCGTGGATGCCCAGATGGTTTGTCTTTCAAGTGAATCTGGAGGCCATGTGGGGGCCTTGACCTCTGTATCCAGGGGCTCGTTGAGATCCCGAGAGATATGCGCGAAGGAAGAACTGCAGCGAGCGGAGCGCCTTGGCTCGGCTTGGTTACAACGTTACCGCCACATTGAAGGCTCTAGCCTTCTGCCGTCCGTGGATCCTCTAAACGAGTTGTTGCTTGGCCTCGACTTTTTTGCCGACCTCCGCGAAGAAGGGGTCCGCCCTCTCTCGGGGAGTTCCTCGGCAGAAGATCCCATACTTTCGTCTACCACTTCTAACGACCGTAACGAGGAGATACAGGTGGATGGCAAGGACACTGAAGACGAGACGGAAGGGAGGGAGCTAGGGGAGGCCAAGGAAACATCAGAAGTTGACCCGACGCCCCTGGCACATACACAAGCAGCACAGCACCAAGAACGAGAATACTTACGGGCAATTCCAACAGTAATACCCAACGAAAATGTGTACATTGGCTTCTTTCTACCTTTGTTTCTTCAAGAGGCCAAACAGGCCCTCGCAAGAGCTATCAAACTCGACTTGGGACCGCCCGAGGAGGTGGTGCAGGTAACCCTATCAGTAGTGACGTGGAGTAGAAACGCACTTAAGATTTTGCCTTGTTTATCCTCTTCAAAGGCTTCGATTGTTGCAGGGGAGCAGCAGAATGGCAAGAAGTCATGTTTCTCTGTGTTGGTATGTTGCAGCAAAGCGGTGAGCCTCGGGGAGCCTTTCTGTCTTTGCTCCTAAGCCGCTCTGGAGGCACGGCTGCTGTTTCTTCTTCGGCGTGCCGTTATTGCCATGGAGATCTGGTGCTCATGTACATTCCAGCAAGCCGAGCAGCTGATGAGGCTGAGGCGCTTATGGCGCCGCAGAAGGGAAGTGAGAGGGAGGCACAGGTGGACTCTGGAAAGAAGAAAGATACTACCACCAACATGCCCCCTAGCTTGGAGCCGCCGGCTGACGAGGCAGAGGTTCGGCTGTCGACACGAGCGCTAAGGCCCCAAGATACCGATTGTCATGTGCTCGCAGTTGTGTCTCAGGGACAGCACGAATCCATCAGTGTGAAGGTGCTGACCCCTCTAGGCTCCGCATACAATGGGAAAGGGGGCCCGGGAGTGGAGGAGGGTCCAGACTCCTCAGCGGTGTATAATCCGGCAACAGGAAGGCCTTACGGCTTCCTATTGCCTCGAGACCGGTGTCGTTTACTCAAGCTCGTGAAGGCTCTCAATGCCCAGTTCACTAAGTGGACTGTTCAGCGAATCATGTCCCTCACAACGCTATACAGAGAATTCCAGGTGCTACGCGGCGTCTAGCATTAGACATTGCCTATTATGTTTTTCCCTTTTATCCCTCTCTCGCCTTCGCCTGTTCCAGTATCTCTCATGTTTGTACCTGCGTGTGTGCATTCAACTGCACGCATGTCTGTGCTCCTTCGCGCCTGTGAGTGCGTGATCAAGGGTGGTTGCACACTTACATATTTCTGTGTTGTTTTGGATTCCTATGTATACCACCGTCCCTGGATTGTGTGGTTGCACACCTACATATATCTGTGTTGTTTTGGATTCCTATGTATAGCATCGTCCCTGGATTGTGTTTGCGTGTTTGTAGCGTGTGTGGCCGTCTACGTGTGTATTCATTTGCACTCCAATGAATCTTTGCCTTGTCTCTGCAGCAGTTAGCCCTTTGCTGGATTTGTAGTTATTTCCATTTTGCTGACTGCAGGGCCTGATGTCACTGCCGGATTTGCAACTGAAGGACAGTCTTTTTCGCTCGCCAACGACAGGCTCAACCTCACGACTGCAGCTGAACAAAGCAAAGCTGGCAGGGCCTCTGAACAATCCCTTGTTGGAAGACAACGAGGGTGCCCATCGGAATGCTGAAGAGGGGGCAGCCACAGTTTCTCCGCCCGCAGGTACTCATGCAAGCGATGAGAGCTCTTCACCATCCGAAGGGCAGCGTGCACAGACACCACTTGCCGCCACGACAGACGGCGCCTCATTAGGGCCCTCTGAAATCCAGACGGAGGAAACGTCCCAACCAGGAGAACGACGACTCGTCATCCCGGAGGCCCTGAGGACCCGTTTAGAGAGTCTGTATAACGCCAGCCAGCTCGCCGCCCTTGAGGATTCGCTCAAGGTGGAGGGTGTCACACTCATTCAAGGCCCACCTGGCACAGGAAAGACTTCCACCATTGTTGGCGTCGTCTCCGTTATCCTCCATGCACAGCTCGAGGGCCAGAACGAATCCTACTCGCACTCACCTGTGAGCGACACATCCATGAGCATGGGGAAGCAAACCACCAGACGGAGGCCCTTGCTTTCGTTCTGTGCCACTGGAGCGTTTGTTGGCTCGTTCTCTTTCTCCTGCAGACTGAGCAACGCCCAACAGAGGAAGCAGGCGACAAATCGGGAGCAGCGGTTCAAGTTGAAGCAGGTTCGCGGTCTAAGTGGCGTCCTTGGCTGGAGCGTAAGCATCGGATTTGAGTATTTGTTGTGTCCCACCTCTCTGTTTTTGCTTGTCCGAATTATTGGTCTCTACCTGTGGGACGATGTGCCTTTAATAACTTTCGTGACCACTTCTGCGAAGACTGGGTATTCACAGACGATGCGGTGTTGCGTCTCTCAGCGGACTACGTTGCCTGGATGGACGCAGACGAGTTCACGCTAGAGGATCTGGACTGTAAGATGATGCTACAGCCAGCGGCTGTTCCGACTGATCCGCCTATCTGCCTAACGAGAGAGCGTCATGAGCTCCAGCCAGTGTACGCCCACACCCGGATGCGGCAGCCTGTTTATGTCGGACTCTGCGATGGTTATATACCAAACGGTTTAGTGATATCCCTAGCTGCAGTGCCACGCATGTGCCAGGAACTGCCTGGGGGGTTTTCATGGGGTTTTAGCATCTACACTTAACTGTATGGGTGCGGGCTGACACCCATTACGTGGGGCACTGGCAGGTGTGTAAGTGTACGCGTGCATGTATGCCTATGAGGATCTGCATGTGAACGTGCTGGTCGCAGTCGTATTCTGGTCTGTGCGCCGTCAAATGCGGCCATTGATGAGATCGTCAAGCGCCTGACGGCAGATCCCGAGACAGGAGGCGGAATATTTGACGGCAGCGGTCAAAGATTCTCTCCAGCTGTGAGTTTTGGCTTTTTTTGTACGCTGATTATCCACTTTTTGGACAGTATCAATATATCCGCTAGTCATCAGATTCCCTTCGACTCTTTCCCATTCGGATCAGTTATTTCAGTCTCGGGCTGCAGCTGCGAATGAGGCGTCTTGAATGGGATATGAGCAATGGCAACGTGGGCAAATCGTGCTTGTGAGACTTCATTGCAGGTCGTGCGCGTAGGGCCTAATGTACATCCTGACCTGCTGCAGCACAGCCTGCAGTACAAAGCCCTACAGAGGCTCAGATCCCGAGGTTCTACCAACTTCGCCGCGTTAGCAGTGAGCTGCGTCTGTGCTGCCAGGCTGTGTGTCGCTGTTGACGAGTAAACCTCTTGATAACGGCTCTGGGTGCATATAACGGTCACAAGTCTACCAAGGCCATTCTTTCATTGGCAGCGGCAATTGGTGACGTTGGTAGCGTTCAGCAAAAGCAAATGGTGTGGACTGTGTTTTCCTGCGATTTAAGAGCATGAAAGTGCCTGCTGCTCCTCTGTTTACAGCTGCGCGCACGGGGTTTTGGCATGTGTGCGCATTTACATTGGCGTGTAGGCAGCCAAGGCGGATGTGCTACGGGATAGTGTAATTGTCTGTGCCACAATTTCTGTCTGCGGTTCCAACGACTTGACATCTCTTGCCGACTGTTTTGACACTGTCGTTGTAGACGAAGCTTCCCAGGTCGGCACCAGACAGCTGAGCTTAGCGGCCTTTAATCTGTTCTGCACTCCCTCGCTTCATCAGGGGACAGTGGGCCTCTTCTTGGGGCATGCACAGTCTAGACTGTGCCCTACAAGTCCTTACAATACTGACCATTGCAGTTACTCGATGCCGCCATGCTGCCGTTCTGTGTGGATGTAGGCCGTTGAATTGGCAACTCTCATTCCACTTCGGTTGGGCTGCAGAAGGCTCATTCTCGTGGGCGACCCAAAACAACTCCCCGCGACCATCTTTTCACGTCATGCAATCCAGTTGGTAAGGGGCTTTGTTCGGCCTGCTCCAAGCTTTATTGGCTGTTTATCTTCATGCGGTTTAGTGCTTGCTTACATTTCAACGCATCGCCGCTGCTGCTGAAGACGCGGAACTCAGCAGTGCGCTGCTGAACGCAACCTAGAGTGGATAAATGTACATTGGGGAATGCTTGTATGCAGCGGTATGATCGCTCGCTGTTTCAACGCCTTGAGGGGGCAGGCCAGCCAACGAACATGTTGAGTCAACAGTACCGCATGCATCCAGCTATCTCCCGCTTTGCGTCCGTCGCTTTCTATGAAGGGCTCTTGCGGGATGCTCCCCATTTACCCAGTGGCTTATGGACCCCCTTTCCTTCTTGGCACCGGCTGCCCATCCTTCAACCAATCGTCTTTTTCAATCTCGACAGCGATCACACTGTAGGTCTCTCCTGGAGCTCAAGAATCAACTGCACACCGATGCGCTGTTTACTGATATGCTCCACATGAGTATGCGAGGAATGCCCAGTTTCGACGCTGTTTTCTCCTGACTCGTCGAATTGTAGTGTGATAGACGAAGCCTCTTGGGTTGAATGTGTTCTTGTTGCTGTACTGCTGCATTCGCTGTTGCTGCCCGGATGGTGGTGGACGTATCTAAAACACTCGTACATCGGGGGATTCCGTTTTTTATGATTCGGCCGATGTTTCTGTGCAGGAAGAACACACGTCCCTTGTGAACTACGCAGAAGCCGACTTCGTTCGCCAACTTATTGACTTCCTCCGCCGACTGGTATGCTAATCCATGGGCTGCTTGCAGACTGCGCAAGTCTCGCCCCAATGCTTCCTCTTTCCAAGTGATGTGAGTGACAGGAGAGTCGACAATGCTTGTGAAAACGTTCCTTCGTTTGCAGTTTGTAGCATCCGGCAATACCAGATGGGAGCACCGCATTGCGGTAATCAGCCCATACGCGCAACAAGTCATTCTGCTGAGGCGTACTATTAAGGCGATGCTCGGGGTTTCTGAAGGGAAGTCGTGTCCAATAGACGTCAATACAGTAGATGGTTTCCAGGTAATCAGTGACAATCCGTCCTCCAATCAACACTGTTTCCCGCATATCAGCTCTCGGGGGCCCATCCCAGACGCTTCATCACGTGCCTTCGGGGACTGCTACAGACTACCTAGCATGTTTGTGTACGTGCTGCGGTATTGGCTGTTCCGCTCTGTAAAAGGAAGCTTGTGGAGGTACAATTTAGGCTCCACCCTGATGTGAGTGGTTGTTTGATTGCCAGGGTCAAGAAAAGGATTTTATAATTTTTTCGGCCGTTCGAGGCATTCGCAGTGACAAGCAAGAAGCGAAAAATGGAACTGTTGGCTTTTTGGGTGACATGCGGCGCCTCAATGTGGCTGTAACAAGAGGCCGTGTTAACCTTTGGTTGGTTGGAAATGGCTGCTTCCTTAGGAGAGATAAGACGTGGGCTAGGCTATACGCTTATGCAAAAAATCGTCAAGCTCTTATTTCCATCAGCCGCCGCAGTACACAGCACTCCGCCATCCTCACAAAGTGGATTCTCAAGTACTGCAAGACGCATCACGTGAGCACCGTACATTCCAAAATGACTTTTACGGCAGACGTAGTAATACTTTGCTGCACTTACAGCAGGGAGCGCCAAGGCACTTGAACTGTTGTCTTTGCCCGCCGGAGCAGGTGGCCAACGCTGTGCTGCGTCTTGAGGGGTATGCTACCTGCAGCGCGAGAGAAAGTTACTGGAAGAGCATGCACCCAGCTTCTTGACAGATCTTTCGGAAAATCTGAAGGCTATGAGGGAACGAAGACAGAGAAAAGGGGGCAGGGAAGATGATGAGCAGGTTGACGAGCTGCAGACGGAAGGGTAAGCCATCATACAAGCCACTGGTACCACAATATAGGCTCAGATATAGGTCAATCTTCCCACACTTGTGGAATGTTCATATCTGCTACTCCCTGCAGCCCGATTAGCTGGGAACAGCCAGTAGAAGAACCCGGGGGTGAGGAAGAAGGTGAAGCAACTGGGGAGATGACAACTTTCCACGACATTGCGGATGAAGGGTGCCTCGACGAAGTCGCAGTTCATATGTGAGCTATCATATACACTAGAGTGCCTTCTTTGCAAATTCGGATGCTGAGAAATCTAAGTGACGCCGATGCATTCGTGTGTTTCTTGGACACATGTAATGCCTCTGAAGTATTTGCTGTTATCGTGGTATTTGTTGACTGTTAGCTGGAGTTGAGAATGAGCAGTGAGCATTTCCCCAATCGTTTGAACGAGCGTTCTGGGCGTTATGTCTGGTAGTTTGAAATTTTGAAGACGGTAGTTCATCTTGTGTTGTCAAAGGGTAGCTCAAAGAGTGACTGGTATCATCTAGACGTTCACTCTTTGCAAGACAGCTGTGTTGTTGCAATTCTTTTTGACCGGTGGGTCTACAGGCGAGATGAAGCACTGAAAACCGCTATGGAGGCCGAGGCGGCTGCGTCTCCTCCGCAAACAAGTTCAACCTCTCAGCCGGCAACAAGCACGCAGCCTGGGCTAAAGGGAGAGCCATCCGCTGGTTAAGAATGGTGAAACAGGTAGCCCTGAGTTTCTTGATACGGACAGACAGTGGCCCTTGCGGAGAGCGACGCTTTGTGTGTTAAGACTGGAAGCACAGCTTATGCCCCGCTTGACTTGACTTCGTATATGAACACATTTTAGTATACTTATGTTCCTAGGCGGTGTTTCGTGGATTACATTTGGTATCCGCCGGCCGTATTCATGGACAGACCCTTAACCCTGAATATTCCCCAAACATTTTCACGTGGTGCCGCACCACTCATTACTTCGTGCTGTGCTGCCACCCCATTGCTACAGTTTATACTTCAGAAATGTGGTTAATAACTCATTTTGTCGAGTAGTGTTTCGGCACCTCAAATCTCGAATGGGTACTCTCTCGTCTCCGACAGTTAGACTATTACATTCTACGCACGCGGTCTGTGCGACTCCAGTAAATTTTCTAAATTGAATAGTTTCCTTGTGTATTTGTGCCACCGAGACATAAAAAGTATGGTAGAGATTGCCTAACACCAATGCTAGCAACAGTAGCAGTGTGCACCTGAAATTGAGTATGGCGGACAGCGCCACAATACAGGTCTTTTTCTGTTTTTAGTGCAAAACCGAGAATTCGAGTAAAAGGTCCTGCCTTTAAGCCTGCAAAGGCATGTGATCTGAAGCTCTTTTCCGGCGTTGAAAGCCATATGCCGCGTGCGGCTAGATTCTATGGGGAACATTTGTTCTCCTCTATCATTCCTCAAGCCCGATCATTCGTTAAAGCGAAATGTGTGTTGTTCCAGCAAGCACACTGCACACTTACTCGATGCGACAAAGTTGCACCTAAGCAGTTTCAGCTCCTCACAGCATTCAATACTAACACGAGTACTCGGAGGAAGCCACACACTAGTATGGTCTGTCTGACAAAAAAGGGGGCACTCCTACTTACTTCCAAGCTGGCTATTGAAAAAGAAGCGAGTGTTTAAAAACTGTCGACAGTGTTGGGGCATGCTGCGACGGGGGCATCTGTAATGCTTGCATGTCCCCTTGCACGCTCGTGTGTGTTCAGTGTCGATCGCGCGCATAATTTGCCGTGGTGTGCTTCATATCCGGCTTATATTCCTAACTAGGGCCAATTACAGTTAAGCATAAGAAAAATAGACTGAAGAGTAGACGGAAATCCCTCGTGATGGGTGCAGTGAAATGATTTCTGGCCGTTCGGCTGGCGAACTACACGTCGTCATGTTTTTCAGTGCTATCACCATATAGATAAGTCTGGAAGCTGCCTAAATAAATAACATATTAAAGGGGATTGATCCTCGCCGTTCGTTCGCTGCACAGTACTTTTCCCGTAAAGTGAAGCCGCATGTCAATGGCGGCGCCAGGCATTACGCCACGCAGGCGTGGCCGATGCTGCTCATGAATGGCAGGAGCCCGCTGCATGTTTGTGTTCTTTTCCTTTTCGATCCATTCCTTTAGTTATTATCAGGTCAAATTTTCCAAACTATTCAGGTATTCATCTGGGTCACCTCAGGCTTTTCCTCTGGCAATCGCGAGTCGGACCCGTTCAGCTGTGTGTCGATTGTTTGATGCACTGAAACAAGGGACACCATCGCCCTTTGAATCCAACTAACATCCTTCGTTTTACTACCCACTTAACTGGCGCTAGTTGTTCCGACTAGCCTTTGCTGCGTGCATACTGGGCATAGGCTGCTTTTCAGTGGCACAGCGCTTGCGGTCGGGCAGAAGCGGTTTATTTCAGTTTGCTCCACACCTGCCGTGGCCAGGTAATCTTCCAGCCTTTCTGTACTTTGAGGGTCTCCATACCAACACATCGTGGGTGCACCCACGAGCATTAGAGGAGGGAAGCTGCTCCAGCTCACCCCGAAGCTCAGTCCCCGTCAGGATTTGACCGGCAACTATGGAGGGAAAAGAAAAGAGATCCTTGCCGCTTAATCTCCCTCTTCCTAGGAAGGAAGATGTGGTCGGTTCCCCAAGGCTTCAAGAGCCCAGCAGTTCGCACCGCTATTCAGTGGCTAGCACGGGGATAGGCGACCCGAGCAGTCCTTATTTGCGTTCGCCCGCGCTCACACACATATCTTCTGCTCTACCCTCTCCCAAGGCAGCTGCGCTTGGAACAACCGTTCTCCCGCCTCCTTTTACTTCACCTCGCCAACTTCCACAGAAAGATGTGCTTCGCCACGGTGTCCTCATATCTCCGGGGGAGGAGGCGCCAAGGGGCACTATCATGACACCAGCGATCATCCGAGCCAAAGCACAAGGCAAATCTCTGCCCCCAATAAAGGAGGACCATATCAGCATGCTTGATGAATTCGTCTCACGTAAGGCTTCAGACTGTCCCGTGTGTAGATGCAGCGTGAAATCTGACGCAGTGCATGCTCTCCCTTCGCCACTAACCACTTTGAGCTTTTCATTATAACGGGCTAGTCTCTGGGGGCAGAGGGTTGTAGGTGGCACGCCCAACCGTACCACGCTACGTCTACTATATCCTATCATGTCTGCTCATGTTTTTGTCGGCTTGCGTCTTTTTAGCCCACACCGCGAGTTTGATCGACGAGATTCCGAAGGAGAACATGTTGAGAATGGCTGGCCCGAGCATGTTTCCATACGTGAGTCTATAGTTCTGTGCAAAGCGTGCCGACTGGAGAATTCTCTCCTAGCGAATCTTGTGCTGCAACTCCTGAACACGACCAATTCTTTATTTTACAGATATTGTACAATGTATCCTCGATACTCTGCAATTGTCGTCTGGCCAATAACCCACGAACGTGATGCATGGTCCTGACATTTCATATGTGTATTCTCTAGGATGCGAGGTTCACTGAAGACGTGAAACAATACCAACTGGATCATCCCATACCTCCAAGTATGCTGAAGAAATACCCCAACTACGGAAAGTTCCCGCTCTTGCTGAATCAAATTCACCGCCCAACGTTAGAGCCAAACGTCAAGGACGTGAAAGACTTTGAGCACCTTCGTGGACACAATGAAGCAATGCTAGAAAACAAATGTAAGCACTTTCCCGAAGGTGCTTTGCTGCGTATATAAGATGTGTCCACTAGGTATCGATGACGACTGCATGGTTAGAGACACGGAGAGCCACTATTTCTTTTCGAACTTCTCATGCGGAGTGTTATTTATTGTATGCGCTCTGCCATTAAACAGGGGAGGAGGAGAAGGAGCGGAAGGACCGAGGCCTTTCTATGAGGGAGGCGTATATGTACGTCCCTAATTTCGGACGAGTGCAGGTGCTCCTAACAGACTTTTCTGATGGTACGAGCTATCCTCTCGTGACGCTCCCAAAAATGACCCCGTACGATATCCTTGGAGTGCTGGATCAGCAGCAAAAAGCGAGGGAAAGATCGTGGGTGAACGGATTCTTGAAATGCCTACACAAAGTCTCCTGCGGACTCTTTTAAACCTCATTACCTACTTCGCCTGAGGCCATCCTCTATAAAATGTGAAGTACATACAGTACACCTCCTTATTCAGAAAATGCGTATGTGCATATTATCCCCCAACTCCCGCATCGGTACACAGCGCATACCTTTGTATTTTTTTTCCGATATCAGAAGGTAAAGGCAAATGTGGTCGGCCTCCGCAGTTTTGGCCATGGTGTTCCCTGCTACAACAAAGAACAGCATCTGCGGTTAAGGAGGGTGGGCACGATGCTTCTCTCAGAGACAGCGCGTGCTTCTCCTTCCCCCCGTGGCAGTGCTATGCAGGAGTGCACTTAGGTGATAAGTGCCCTCATTGGGTACAGAGAGTGCTCCATCGAAGACAGTAGATGTTTATTTGTGAGAAAGCAAACCTCCACCCCGCGCGGAGATGTCACACTTTGTGAAGGGGAGGCAGTGCCACTACCGGGGAAGGGGTAAGAACAAGCAGCAGTTGCAGTGCGAATGAGCCAGCAGCAAGACAAGCTCCACGGGAAGTAGTCCCTTTAGTATTAGACGCTGGAGTTTAACACTGAGTGTATCTGACACCATGAAGAACACAATGTAGCAGCACGACACCATCTAGATACATGGAAAGAATACCAAATAGTACCTCACTGAGGCATAGTAAATTGTGCACCGTTTGCCTGTGTATTCAATTATGCAAGAGGGGAAGCTGGAGGCTTACATGTAATGATCTATTGCAAGAAGTATAGCACGGGAATTGCTGTACTACGTCGTATCTTGCCAGTGAAGCATGCTGAGTCTGAAATTTGTACGTGCATTCCTAAATGCGTGGGACTACCTATTAAAGGACAGCAATCAGTTGTCTCCGGCTTTGGCACATGAACCACCAGGTAGCTGTCGATATGCCTGCACGCGAAGTAGCCTTGCGGCAGAACTAGAAGCTTTGTGCGCTGCAACTGGTGTCAAGCCATTTTCTCTCCAACCAACACATAGGGGCACAAGGCCAAGGAAGCCTTCTGACTGGAGGCAGCGCTGTAGCTGGCACGAAACACTTTGAATTTTCCGCAGCGAACACCTGAAAATGTACTGCAAGTAGCATCGCATGGGGGATGCTAGAGTCCATGTTAATTAAAAGATGAGGCATGTTCTGTCTGAACTGTATACGTGGACCCTTAGCTGCGTGCAAGTTAGCAACTGGAGGACAAACGTGCATTTAACATTTATCCTAGCACAAACATCGATGCCGATTACACACAGCCCACCATTTCCATCTTAAGCTCCTTCTTCGACCTCACAGACTCCACATAAGGGCGAAGAGAAATGAAACGTTCGTAAACTCGTTGTATATGAGGAATTTAAAGAGGACGAAAACTGTCTACATGGGAGAACACCTCCGCGACATGTACAGCTCCTAGACAGGAAAGATGGTAAAGTTGCGCCGTTTGGTAGTATATACATGTACACCGCAGCTCTACCAGACATTTACGTCTTCAAATAGTACCTAAAAGTTTAATTTGTACGTATCGACAACGAACACATCGCGTTGTAACAGATTGTGGGCTGCCAGCCACAGCCCCAGCATACCCAGCCCCGCAGCCGCCCACAAAAGGCGCAGCACTATGTTATTGTGTGAATGTGCCTGTTGCAAGTTCTAACTATATTGAGCTTTCGCAGCGAACGTACTTTTCTGTTGACTCCTGGAGGTCTAATTGAGCGGCAACTGAGGCCGAGGAAGCTTCAGGTGGCGCCTGCACCCTCCCACCCCCACCTCATGGCTACAGGGCTTGGGCCCTCGGTCGGCCGTTTTCCAGTCCTCGCCGGCTTAGTAGGACTCGTGCGCCACACGTTTAGGCCTATTCATTCTCTCGTGGGCGTTTGTATGCGTCTTGAGTGCGCCCCTCTGTCGGTTTCGTCCGTGGGAGCCCACGGCGAAGAAATAGGTGGACCTCGTCCGATAAGTACGGTCATGCGCAAGGTGTAGAGCCCCTCGCATGGAATTTTGTGGAAGGTCTACAGTTGTATTGCGACTCTGGAAGGATCCATTGCACTCCAGTATCTGCTCGTGTGCCCTTGTTTTGGCGTCCCTCCTGTAGTCCGTAGGTCCTGTAGAGAAACGATCGTCCAACCAGGATACGCAGACCTTCTGCCCTGGTTTTAGGGGGCACCTTGCATGTTGCAGGCGTTGGCCTTGAGCCCACGCACGGACACGTGGTGGAAATGGGGGATCTGGACTTTGACACGGTCATGAATCTGATGGATAAGACGGACAAAGATGGCGACAAAGCAGCAGCAGAAGCGTCGCCTGTTAGCAATGGCGCTCTGAGATCCAAAGCAGCTGATGGGGGACCCAGACGATCGTCAGATTCAGAGGGACCCCCAGGAAGGGAGAACAGGCGCGAAGGGCGGGAGAGGAGCCAGGACGATCCCCGCAGAGGAGGCGAAGGCAGCAGCCCTTCCTCTCGTAGGGGAGGCCCTCGGCCTGACGAGAGTCCTGAGGGACGAAAGGGGCGAGGCGACAGTTCCAGCGCACGTCGTCCGTCTCGCGGCGGAGACAGCACGGAGGGTCGGCGTGGTGGAGGCCCCCGGGGAGAAAGTTCGGAAGGTCGCAGATGCCCCCGTGGTCAGAGTCCAGAAGGCCGAAGAGGGTGGGGTGGTCGAGGCGGAAGCCCTGAGGTGTATAGGGAAGGCCGACGTTCTCCTTCCCCGCGTCGCAACGGGGGCTGGCGCGATGGCCCCTGGCCGCGAGGCCCTCGTGGACGAGAGTTCCGTTCGCGGGGTCCTGGGGGCCCCTTCAGACGCTTTGGAGACGACTATGGGAGACATCGTGGGGGAGATTTTCGTCGAAGGGATAGAGAAAGAGAGTGGTGGCCGCCGGCGGGTCGGCGGAGCCGTAGCCGCGACCGGCCGCGACGCGATGTTGGGCGGTCTGCGTCTCCGGGAAGGAGAGGCGGGAACGGCCAGTCAGGGGGAGGTGGTGGGGGTCCTGCAGTTTCTGGAGCAAGCGGAGAAAACCAGGCTACTGCAGGGAGCACAGCAACGCGCCTGGGGCCTCGGGAGGAGCTGCTGCGCCGCCAGCGGGAGGAGGAGCTCCGTCGCAAGGAGGTCGAGGAAGCTCGGCGAGACGACCTGACAGTGCTTGTGCTGAACCTGTCTCTGAAAGCAGACGAGAGACACATTTACGAATTCTTCTCCGCCAATGCGGGGAAAATCCGGGACATTCAACAGATAAGAGATCAACGATCGGGAGTCTCGAAGGGTGTCGCCTACGTCGAGTTCTACACCCAGGAGGCGGTCATCAAAGCGATGGCTCTTAACGGGATATCGTTTAAGGGACAACCGCTTCGGGTGCAGGCCTCAATGGCGGAGAAGAACAGAGCTGCAAGGGCGGCCAAATGCCCTATTGCCCCCGCCCCTGATGCCGCCTCGTTGCAGATACCGATGCGGGTGTACGTGGGGGGGTTGGTAGGCAGTCTGGCGAGTTTAACAAAGGACGATCTTCACGCTCTGTTTTCTCCATTTGGAGCCATCCAGGAGATTATTCTTCCGATCGACCCGAACACAGGGGAGGGTGTGGGCTTTGCCTTCATCATGTTCTCCGCGACAGGCGACGCCCACGATGCGATGCAGCAGATGCACAAATTTAAAATAGGCGGGCAGGAGCTCAGGGTGGGCTATGCAGCTGACGGGGTGCGCCTGTCGGGCTCCCTACCAGAAGGGTCGCCTACAACTCCACCTGGAGGCATAGCTGCTCCTCAGGGAGCTCCGGGTTTGCTGGGCGGCCCAGGCATCCCTGCACACGTTGTTGCCGCCACTCAAGTCTCCTACGAAGCCCAACTAGCAAAGCAGCTAGCGGAGAAGGCTGCTAGTCTTATGCGGCAGCAGCAACCGCAACAAGCACAGGAAGGACAGGCTCAGGCTCAGGACGGAGACGATGAGGGAGGTCTCGATGATGATGACATGGGATTCATTCACGACCCTTCTCGCAAGCAGGCACTTATGCAAAAACTCATGGACCGTTCCAATGCTGCTCTTGCGTCGACGGGGGGATCCCGCCCTGCCGTATCACCGAGCAGCGAGCCACAGCAGCAGCAACAGCCGCAGGCGTCCCCGTCAACGGACAAAGTAGGCCTCGAACGTTTGAAACAGTTTCGTTGACCTTTAGTTGCTTCACCACTGTCGTTGGAGTGTGTTTGCAGGTTCTTCTCGTACGGTCTATTCCGGAGGTGCGGATCATTTTGTGTCGTGTTGGTGCTGCTGTGTGGCTGCGTTCAGCAACAGTTCCTGCGGAGCTCCAGCGGCCCGCGAGTGGGTGTCGGAGGGTTGGCTCCGGGCGTGATGACTTCAAATTTGGTGTTGCGAGGAATGTTTAATCCGAGTGCCGCCGACGACGAGTACTACTTTGAAGACATCCGAGATGACGTGAAGGAGGAGTGCGGAAAACATGGTTCCGTTGTTCAGGTTTCCCTGAGCGAAAAGGATGAGGAAGGAAGGGTTTTTGTAAAGTTCACAGCACCATCTGTGGCTCTGGCCGCCCAAAACGCGCTCAACGGAAGGTTCTTCGGGGGTCGGCAGATCCACGCCGAGTTCGCCACTGATGCGATGATCAACGCGGTGTGCGGCAACAGCACCACAAGCAGCAGCAGCAGTAGCTCGTGACATCCTTTATGGGAACGGGGGATAGGAAGGCTGGGCTACCCTGCAGCTAGCGCATTGACGCCTTCTAGTTGCCCTTTTCCCGGTCCAGTACAGGGTACGGTGGGCATAGGCGTAATGTTTAATTCCGAGTTCGTAGTTGATGCGGTGCCGCGTCAACGGGCGCGCGTCGTACCAAACCAAGCACCAAGGCAGAGGAGGAACGGGCAAATAAGAACAGAGCGAGACCGAGCTCCATTTCAATGCCTCTATTTCTGTCAGACTGCCCATCGGTGACCGGTGCTTCCATATTTCATCTCCACATACCTGTTGGTCGTGCAGGGTGGTTGTCGGCACCGTGTGCTAGCTGCTTTCGATCTGCTTAGCTTTAATTTTGTTAGCTGGCTGTGTGGATCTACACCCAACATGTCGCAACATTTCTTAAGATTTCCATGGAGCATCAGCGGGAGTGCCCGATGACTGATCAGGAGCTGAGCGCTCTCTCGGAACCGCGTGCATGCGTGTAGGAGCTGAGCAAATAAGTGGGCTGTCATAAGGGGTTTCAGTATGTCCATAGCAGTACACCGACGCACAGATGAGTGCAAACCGCTAGACTCAGGGATGGGCCGTGGGGGCCTTTAAAACCCACCCACGCTGCAGGAGGCTAAGAGCCTTTAAGTGCAGCGGAGTTGAATGTTTGCTATGTACTGAGCCGCCTTCAATACCGTCAACCAGACCTCCCCAGCCGTGCGTGTGCATGCATTAGATAGGCTGGCAGGTGCATGTCTGGCTTTAATTACACAGTACTCTTTTAGAATGGCACGAAGTGTGACTGTGGGGCGCAAGAGGAACTGGCCATGCAAGCAGACTCATGTCTGGGGCTGTGGTGTGTTCCTGAGTGTGGCATATACCCGAGGGATTGACCTCGCGTTTCCTCCAGCCAAAACAGCTACAGCTGCACAAGTTGTAGGTATGGGGTTGACCGTTGAGCAGACGGGCAAAGTTTTGAACCATTTCCCGTATTCCTCAGTTTTAAAGGCCAAACGTAAACGCCAAACTATGACTTGAGGAGGTGCCAGTGGGGTAAGTCAGAAGTTATATACCGCCTCAAAGATTTGAAACCCACCGCCTAGTTACAGCCGTGTTGCGAGGGTACGCAAGACTTCGAGCAGGGAATAATTGGCCTAATTAGCCACCAAAGTCGCATAGAGTTTACGTTCATAAGGCAAGTATTGCATGAAATCCCGTGTCGCCCCAATACTGCCTTTCTGGAGAGCCAAACACGTCGTACAATTGCCCGGATCAGGAAGGGTAGTCTACAAGTCAGCTTCGTGCCACGACAATTGCTTGGAAGGAACAGAATCTTCTTTTCTGGTACCTCTATTTTTGCACGGACGTTCGAGTTTCTCCAATTCATTTCTCTGCCACGTTCTGCGTGGTGGTGTCGGTGGTTCGAAAGTAAGACTACTCGGAATAGTTGACTCGTTTGTATCACCACACGCCTTACGTTGAGTTTGTTTGAATGAGCCATAAAAGTTCCGATGTGGCGATTTCTCTAATGTGCCTCGGTTCAACAGGCGTGACTTTCTTGGGACGGCGAGAGCAGAATGAGGTTGCTTGCACAGTGTCTGTTGCAGCAGATCTTGCAAAAGCTGCATGCTAGCTGCTTCATTGAGTAATCAATATGCGCTTTTGATTTATCTGTCCCGAATAGCTTCTCGGTTGCCAAAGGGCTACTTCAAGTAGCGAAAGGACTCAGCGGTCGGGGCCTCTGTTGTGGGCATGCGACTCATTGCCCACAGAGCCAGACAGAGGCCATGGAATCGTTTGCGTCTTCGGAATTTTTTCGAGATTTTTTAGATTTAAGAGAAGTTTTCAATAGCTTCTTTTCCTTTGGGAAATTGGGGTGCGCGGGTGCGCTGAGCTGCCGACCCACTGGACATGTGCTAAGCCCGTTCTCGAGGAAATCGCCTCGGGTTTCTTCTTATATCCGCCTTTAGCGCAAAACATCTCAGCCGCATTTCTTAGCGCATTAGCTTGCCATGTGTTAGGAGCGATTCGCCTGTGGAATCCGTCTGCCCTTGCCTCCAATGCAAAACCTCGCCGTGCGCCCATTTGAACTCTTCTAGGCAGCCTGCGTTTAACCTTGATATCGAAATAGGGTGGGGCTTTTCTGTACACCCACTGCTGTTCTAAAGAGAGAACAGCGGGACTTGAGGCCTTCAGCCGCTTGTTCGTGTAATCGCCACTCGCTGGAGTTATGGCACGACCACCAGCAGGCGGCTCTAAAGGGCGCTTTACTGACCGAAGCAAATTCACACGTTTTGTCCGTGCTTTGATGTGAGAGGCTGTCAGCTGAGGGGATATAGAGGGGTGGAGCAGCCCATCTGTTCGCGTGCACAACCCCGAAGGCAATTTCCTGCTTGCCATACTTATAGTCATATTGCCTACACCATCGCACCTTTCATTGCTCTCCTTCTCCTTCAGTACTTTGCATGTGCCTCTCGACTGAGGATGCGCCTGCCCAGGGCAGTAAACGGGCTGCTGCTGAGCGACGGGCTTCGGCACTGCAGTGTCCGTAGTTCATCCCGGTCGCTTTATTGTTTGGGACGTAGCGGTTCTGTGACTTGTGCGGGACCTTCCTCGATCTGGGCCTTGCTTTTTCTCCTCTCGTGAATTGCGAGAGGCCAGCCCCAATGTCCCGACTGGGTAAGTGCTGCGGGGGAAACGCCGCGGAGGATGAGCGGCTTCCATCCCGAGTGCCAGCCGACATGGCGGACGAAATCCAGCGGAACACCTTGCTTACGCTCAAAGAAATACAGGGACTGTATGACAGGTGCGTGTGCCTCAACAGCTGCTAATCATGCGCTCACGCTACAGTTGGAATCTAGGATGCGCCTAGACAGGCATGCATGCTGATAAGCTTGTTCTCGCTGCTTGCATTGCGCTATCGGCGTTGTTTCCTCTGCCCGTTATATTGTGTTGCCGACGTTGTTCCCTTTCTTCCTGAATTCCGGAAGGGCTCGTTCACTTTTGAAATATTCTGATGCTGTTTTCGTGTCTGCCTTCGACCGAAGATTTCTACTTCCTTTCTGACACGTGAATATCAATCTAGCTGTATGAAAGTGAAGGCTGTGCGTGACTGACGCTGCACCGTCTCTTGCCCCTCCAGGTTTCGCAAGTACGCGCCCAACGGCCGTCTGCTTTTCTCCCGGTTTTGCGACACCTTGGGAGTGTTGGGAATGCTGGATGACACGATGATAGCAGAGCGGATGTTCAGAGCGTTTGATCAGAACAGAGATAGAGAGGTCAGTTTGTAACGAAAGAACGGTTGCTTGGGTGGCGACCCAAATCACACGCATGCCAGTTTCAGCTTTTGTCTAGCATCTACCAGCATTTGCAGATATCAAACGAACAAAGGGCTTTCCTGTGGCAAGGATGCACCATTTTCGAGAATCTAGAGGGTCCACCCAGTGTCGTAAGCAGCGGCGCATACACAGAAAACGAGTTTTTGCCTTAGAGTGTGCTGCGAATGCTGGCATCTTGAGCACTTTTGTGTTTTGTAATCAGCTGAGCTTTACTGAGTTCGCCACAGCTTTGGGCGTTATGATGCGCGGAACAGACGACCAAAAACTTGATCTCTCATTCCGCATCCTCAACCCCACGTCCGTCTTATGCAACCGTCTCCAGTAGCTTGCTCTATAGTCCTAAGGAATTTGCGTTTAGTGTAGTGATATACCGAGCCCTCCGCACCAACTGCGCCTTGCAGCTCGTCCTGTGTTAGAACCTCCTTTAGGCAACGCTTAGTGAGTGGGCTTCAAGCTGCGGAAGAATGTTTGCGCCTGCGCAGGTATACGGGTACGGGAAAGTGCTTAGAAGATTACCGCTTGCAGTCCGTGAGCACTTCAGGTTCTGACGACACCATTGCAGCGTCTCCGCATCGCCAGGCCTCCCATACCAACTCTAGTGGTCTGCCTCGGCCGGCTTTTAGCAGTCCTCCCGCCTCTGGACTTGCAGTTGTTCAAGACGGGGATGAAGAGGACAGTTGCGGAGTCGCCGGACAAGCTGATGCTGCTGCTGAGCACGGGTCTCAAGCGAACTCTTCAAAGGTGAAGGACCAAATTAGCAGCGAGACCGGCAAACCCGTTTCTGACCAAGTACTGGCGCCGAAGCAGACACTACGCGTCCCTGGGAGCGTGCATTGGTTTGAGAGGTGCCGCAGCGTCATTTACGCAGACAGTTTGGGGCTAGACGAATTCCTCGATTTGGTTAAGTGTCTGCAAGCTTCCCGCCGGGTCCTGCTAGGGGGAGATGGCAACCTGGCGTCTGACGAGGAGATAGCGATGACATTTCTGCCTCTTGCATCGGAAATGCCAGATGGGTCGAGGCGGATGATGTTGAAAGACTTCAAAAGGGCGGTGCACACGAGCCCGCGGTTCCTCTGCCTCCTGGGCGTTACTAACAACAACGTATCTACCCCTTCGTGCCAGTCCGGTCAGTCCCACGTCGTCCCAATTTAGGAGCTGCGATCCACTATATACGCGTTTCCTCCCAATGAGGTGCTGCGGGGTGCTGCGGGCCCGAGCTTGTTTGCCTTCCTCTTGCAGTTGAAGGAGGTGGGTCTAAGGTTTAGAGCAAAGTACGCTTTCTTGCTGTTAGTGTGTGCTGCTTTGACGGTCATGCAGAGACTTCCGGCACGACGAAATCCGACAAGAGGAACAGCCTCTACTCGATAGAGTGCACTGGGGTTTCGTGCACACTAGGCGGGACTTTAGGGTCCCCAGAGGCTGGTGCTGCTGTACGGGCGGAGCTTCTGCGTCGAGTGCGACAGGCGGAGGCTCAGGCTGAAGTGCATCAGCGGAAGTTGCAACAACAGCAAAGGGATCAGCTGAAGCAGCTGGCGGAGAGTCTCCGAGCTGTGGAGCGCGACGTAGAGGCGGTAAAAACGGCCCTTGCCTCAAAGGCGTCCGATGCCTCAGCAAAGCCATTGGGGGTATATCTCTGTGAGAACGAGTCGCCGGCACCCCAGCATCATGAGGAACTTTTCGGCCGATTGTGCAGCAGTCCTGTACGCAGTGATTCCGCCAAACTTGAAGTGAGTTAAGCAGGCTGACCTTTCCCTTTGGTGGCTGCTGGCTCAGGTTGACTGAGCTGCCAACACCCACCCAAGCAGGATCTTCCTCCAGCTACGTAGAGTTATGCGCGTTATGCGCACACAACTCTACGTGATGCGTTATGCGTTATAGTTACCCACTCCATTTGCTGCATGTGAATTTGCTCGATTGCCTGGTTGGCCGCATTCTACGCTTTTGGCCACATTCTTGTTAGTTCGATTATGTGGCGCAGTCTTCTGGGGAATGCGGAGGCACAGGAGACTCCACGGCAAATGAATCGCCTCGGAAGTTGCAGGCACAAGGTCAGCATTCCTCATCTGTGCTGTCGTGATCTCAACGTTGGAGAACAGCTATTATGGGTGCTTGACTTTAAAAGGTGCTGAAAGGTTGTGTGTTGCTTGCAGGCGGGAAGCCCAATGTAGAGGGACCGCAGGCTTTTGTGGAGACAGCAGAAGGAGCAGAGCAGGCAGCGACGGCAGCGACAGCTGCTGCGGCGGCGGCGTTTGCTGCACTTCAGCAAGCTGAGCAGCAGCTTAATCGCATCCTAGAGGAGAGCAGCATGGCGACTTTTCTGCCGATGCACATTGCAGATCAGTTGATGGTGGAAATGAGCAGTAGGGATAACTTCGAAGCCGTGCACGAGTTCAGTAGAGGGGGGCCATCTGTTATTCAACGGGACATCTCATGCCGCACGCGGAAGTCGATACTCCTTCCTAAACTGACAGGGGAGTCAGTTAGTAGACCAAGTTCAGAAGCAATCAGCGAGTCCGCCACGAACTGGTCCGTACCCCACCTTCTCGATGGTCCAAGGCGGCACAAAGTCTCCTTCTTGGTTGGAGAAAACGATAGCTCGCCTGCCCAGGACGTTGGTAGGTGAAGAGAAAATTTCAAGTACATATTTAAGGGGAATTACCGATTAATTAGTTTTGGAATACTGCCAAACTTGATATCTGGACACTAGGGTGAAACAGGGAATACCAACGATTTTTTTGGGAAGATATTACTCATCGTGCGTATGCACGGTCGGTTCCGTGTGTGAAAGGTTATCCGTTGCGCGCGCTTGTTCCATTCAGCAAGTTGCGCCCACGAAAACGCCACTGCGCAGTCCGTGAGGGCTTCAACAACTACAATATTTCCTTTGAAGGATCCCGGATTGGATGAAATCGACGAACACGTGCGTTTTAGCTAGAATGCCTCTTCGGTCTCGTTGCACAGGGTTGGCTTACGGGATTCCGAATATTGGTTTTTGGGTGGCTGGATTTCACTCACCGAGCTCGCAGGGTTTTGGAGTGCTGTGTGTGCAGAAGGCCACGACTTTAGGTGAAGTGCCAATCGTTGAAAGGTATATTCTTCATGCCTCGGAGGTCCTGTAGGGTAGCGCTGAGTTCAGTTGTAATGGAAAAACCCTTACACGTGAAGTGTACTCTAGTTGTTTGATGCTTGCAGCCGTCGCCGAATACCCCCCGGTGGCCGGAGAATGTATATGAATCGCGCGAAGGTCTATCAACGCCGAAGTATGTCTCTCCGAACCCCCATATACTTCCTTGGGTGGTCTTGGTCGAGCACGTGATACGTGTTTCACAAGCTATGTCGTCTATTCGTGCCTCTTTTCGTACATGAATCATAAATCGAAAAATTAAAGGTGGAAGTTTAGAGCTTCCTGCTGCACGTGTGCTTTTGCTGGATCGTGGCTCGCTCATGTCCGGCATCCTCTGATGATTGTTGGCGGCACGCTTGTGTCGACTCGCAGCTACCCAGTGGAGACGCACGTCGTTAGAACCTGCACTTCGACAACAGAATAACTCCGGCCCTTCAAAGTGAGGCGTGCAGAGATAGTGTATATATATTCCTGTATTTAGAGAAAGTGTGAGTGGTTGCGTCTGTGCACTTTTGCGCTCGACTCTATGAGTGGCTACAGTATATATATATATATATATATAT